GAAATTGAGCGAGGCAGATTTGAACGGACCTCGTTAACATCGTTAAAACAACTCTGTTGAGAAAGGAGTCAAGGGATGTAGTGGATCGTCAAATGTAAACATTTGCCCGTAGATTCTCCTGTATCCCAACCAACAGAGTAATTCTGCGTGTGAATCCTGAAATGTTATGTGGCGAAGGAATTAAGTGTGTAAACAGAGTCAGACTGAATGCCAGTCAACTACTACGTCCGTGAGACAACACGGGAAAAACTACGTTGTATCTACAGTGGAATATGGAATAATCGAGATACTACCAGAGTAGTACCATCAATAGAGAATTGAGTAAAAAAAATAATAAAATGAAAATAAAATAAATAAAAGAAAAGAAAAGAAAAAAAAAGAGCCGAACATCATGAGACGCACATGACGTCCCCGTGACAGTTTGGGAGGAATTCCAGACTCTTTCTTTCCCTTCGCCTTCACGATAGTCGACGGCGAGCCCGGCAACGAACCTCAACCCATCCATGCCAACGATCACTTTACTCTTTTGGTCGTCTCCAGGCACATCCCCACTGTCTCCCCACTCCAAGAGTCTCTGTCGAAGCATCCAAGAACACACTCCGCCCCCTAGCATCCGACTATCCTTCCTGGTTCGGTCCTTGAGATCTGGGCCCCCGTTTTTCCTGCCATGGTCCCTACCCCGAGAATGGGGTGCCCTCCAATCCCTGGGATGGAGGCGACGTTTTGTCTTGCCGACGTATGGACCGTTCATGTAAAACCTTTCATTTAATTTTCATTAAGCGCACTAATAATCCCACGATGCGGTGATTAAGTTCCGACTCTGGGTTATATATCTCCGCGCTTCCCACGTTGCCTCCCCGGTTTCCTTCTCTCTTCTCATCCCATCTTTCATCCCTTCATCAACCTTCAAGGATTCGTTCGATCACTGAGGAATCCATCCGTCACCATGGGTGTCTCTAATCTGATGGCCCGGCTCAAGCCCCAGGCCGACCAGCCCGAACACCAGGAGCACTCCGATACTCCTACTCCTGTCAGAGCCGACTCCAACCTGGAGAAGGATAATGTCATGCTTGACGACAGCCCCGTCAAGTACCTGACATGGCGGTCCTTCATCCTGGGTTTGTGTGTCTCGATGGGTGGCTTTATCTTCGGTTACTCAACCGGTATGTCCACTTCCCCGTGGAGAACCGCCCATGCTTCTTACTGACTTTCACCTCAGGTCAAATTGCTGGCTTCACAACTATGAATGATTTCAAGGTCCGCTTTGCGGAACAACAAGCTGATGGAACATACGCTTTCAGCAACGTGCGCAATGGTTTGATTGTCGGTCTGGTAAGTCCATGAATACTATACTTTGACTGAGCGAATGAGGATCAAACTAACATGGCTGCAGTTGTCCATTGGTACTATGATTGGTGCCCTCGTCGCTGCTCCTATCGCCGATCGCATTGGTCGCAAATACTCTATCTCCTTCTGGTCGGTGGTCCACATGGTCGGTATCATCATTCAGATCGCTACCTCCGACAACTGGGTCCAAGTTGCTATGGGTCGTTGGGTGGCCGGTCTGGGTGTCGGCGCTCTGTCCAGCATCGTCCCCATGTACCAGAGTGAGTCTGCTCCTCGCCAGGTCCGTGGTGCCATGGTCAGCGCCTTCCAGCTGTTCGTTGCCTTCGGTATCTTCATCTCTTATCTGGTCAACTTCGGTACCGAATCCATCAACGGTACCGCTTCCTGGCGGATCACTATGGGCATCGGCTTCGCCTGGCCCTTGATCCTGGGTGTTGGCACTTTGTTCCTTCCCGAGTCGCCCCGTTTTGCCTACCGTCAGGGCCGTGTCGAAGAAGCCCGTGAGGTTATGTGCAAGCTTTACGGCGTCGGCTCTAACCACCGGTGTATCGCCCAGGAGATGAAGGACATGAAGGACAAGCTCGAGGAGGAGAAGTCTGCCGGACAGGCTGGCTTTTTCGAAGTCTTCACTGGTCCCCGTATGTTCTACCGTGTCATGCTGGGAATTGCTTTGCAGTCACTGCAGCAGCTTACTGGAGCCAACTTCCTCTTCTACTACGGTAACACCATTTTCACTTCTACCGGTCTGAACAACAGCTACGTCACTCAAATCATTCTGGGTGCCGTCAACTTCGGCATGACCCTTCCCGGTCTCTATGTCGTTGAGCACTTCGGTCGTCGTAACAGTCTGATGGTCGGTGCCACCTGGATGTTCATCTGCTTCATGATCTGGGCCTCCATCGGTCACTTCGCCTTGGACTTAGAGAACCCTCCCAACACCCCTCAGGCTGGTACTGCTATGATTGTCTTCACTTGCTTCTTCATCGTCGGCTTCGCCACTACCTGGGGACCTATTGTGTGGGCTATCTGTGGTGAGATGTACCCTGCTCGCTACCGTGCCGTCTGCATTGGTCTTGCCACTGCTGCCAACTGGACTTGGAACTTTTTGATCTCTTTCTTCACCCCCTTCATCTCTAGCGCTATCGACTTTGCCTACGGTTACGTCTTCGCAGGCTGCTGCTTCGCTGCCGTGCTCGTCGTCTTCTTCTTCGTCAATGAGACCCAGGGTCGTACCCTTGAGGAAGTCGACACCATGTACGTCCTCCACGTCAAGCCCTGGAAGAGTGCCGGCTGGACGCCCCCGGAGGGCATCGTCCGCGACCTCCACGGACCCCCCGCTTCCCCCAAGCAGGAGGGTCGGGCTGAGCACAGCGAGCCCGCCACCGAGATCCGCGAGTAAATGGTGTCATGTCTGATGAACCAGCTACGGCCGTCGCTTACGCATTGATACAACGTTTTTGTGTTTTTCGTCGTCCTCTGTAACCTTTTTTAATGTTGTGGCGCAACTCTTCTCCTTTTGAATGCTCTGAATATACCGATGTGAATGCATGCATGCATGAGTACATATGTTGAGGGGCCATGAATATGGCATGACTTTTGGAACCAAGGAACCTACTGGCGTTTTGGGTGGATAAACCAGCAAAGCAAAAACTACGAGCTTATGCAGTTTAAAGAGAAATAAAAATAATATAATATATGCCAAATAACTCGATCTCATCGCTTGTAAAAGATCTATCACCAGCGAGCGGGATCCAACGCCTCAAGGTATAATAACACTCTAGATCAGTTTACAAATACTATGACAGCATAGAGGTCAGTAAGAAGACGAGTGTTATCTATGGTGAACCATTTGCGTATGGCGAATTGATTTGCCAGTTGATTTCTGGCAGTACTACTAAGAAAGAGAAGTATATCAAGTCTCTAGTGAGTGATACGCCGCGATGAATTGACAAACAAAATAGAGAGCTAAGCAAGGCAAAATGATCAATTTTTATTTCTATCTTCGTCTTCGCGTTCATCAAAATATTCAAATCAATCAAGCCGATAAATGCTGATTCGGTTGGGTCGGAACAACCCCAGGTATTTACGCAGCAGTATAATTCATCCAGAGACCGTTGACTGTAACAAACAATCAAAACATGAAGAAACATAACCCCCGACGCCCTGTTTTTTTGACACCCAGTTCATGACATGTAGAAGATGAGATATATTAAGGGGTGGTGACATTGTCTCATCGTGCACTCGGCACTTGAAGACAAAGCCTTTACCGACGTTGAGTCTTGCCGATGGTACGCTTGCCGGTAAACTAGAGGCAAATGTTAGTGAATGAGCGACAGGGGTAAAAGGGTGACTGTGATGACATACCAAGTGCTTGGGGAGAGATGCGGTAGTGTGGCGATCGGCCTCTCCCGCTCTTGCCATGCGGTTCATCTTCTTCTGGCCCAGCTTCTTGAGACGGTCGGCCTTGCTGCGAGCCGTGGTATCGGTAACACCGTCCAGGAGACGGTTGGTTGCTGCCTGGCTACGGGCACGGCCCTTGGCCTTGGCGATGGCTTGGCGAGGATCGGACATGTCGACATCCATAGCATCGTCGCCATCGGCATCGCGAGTAGTGGTACGCCCACGGGTTTGGCTCTTGGAGCGGGCACGGGCGGAAGCAGCATCGACATCGTAGCCGGCCTCTTCGAGAGCATTCTCCATTTGGGACAGCGACTTGGCCTTGGCGCTACGAGGGATTTGTGCGCGGTTCTTGAGAGACTTGCGCATCTTCGCATCGTTGCGCATCAAAGCCCGCTTCTCGCGAATCAGGTCTGCCTTCATGCGGGTGTCTGCATCCTCAGCATCTTCCACGCTCTCGTCAGAGTCGTAGTAACCGTCGGCTTCCAGCTTCTCTTCCTCCTCCTCCAAGGCGGCCAATTTCTGCTCAATATCGGGATCCACGAAATCGTAGATGTTCTTGCCGTTCCACACTTCGGGAATCTTATCATGTTTCCATTCGTCATTGGCCAAATCGTAGGTCTTCTTGAGGTCAACGTTGTAGACACCAGCACCACCGTTCTCCTCCTCAATGTCCCTCTCCAACTTCTTCCGGTTAGGATCATCCTTGTCGTATTTCTGGAGGGCCTTAACGGCCTCAGGAATGAAGGTTTCACGTTGGACACCACCCATGGGCTGTGCAACATGGATACGGGCCAGGACATCACCCAGACGCCCACCGGGGGTACCAGAGCTGTTTGTCCCAGACTTGAGTTTCTGCGCCACTCTCTCAGCCAGTAGCTTGTCGCAAGCGGCGTTCTTCACGTTAGTTACGCCTTCAGTAGTGGTGCAAGACAACTGGAGCATTTCCACATCTCCGGACTTGAGGATCGACTGGATCTCTTGCTGGTATTCGGGTTCCAAATCCTCGGGGCGCCTGACATCAATCTTGTTGACGACAAGGAAGACGATCTTGTTGGCGAATAGCGGGCGGATGCTGTGGAACAGCTTGAGTTGGTCGGCGACGGAGTAGCCACACTGCTCGGAGAAATCCATGAAGTACATGACCGCGGAGCGAAGATGGGCAATGGCGGTAATGGATTGCATTTCAATCGTGTTCATCTCCTCCAGAGGGTGGTCCAAAATTCCGGGGGTATCAATGGCTTGGAATCGCAAGTACTTGTAGTCGAAATGACCGACGAACAAACTCTTGGTTGTGAATGCATATGGCTGAACGTCAACATCGGCCTTGGTGATGCTGCGCAAAAAGCTAGACTTTCCGACGTTGGGGTACCCGCAAATCAGGAGAGTTCGGGTGTTGGGATCGATGGATGGCAAACGGCCCAAATGTTGGCGGACTTGCTCGAGGTAGACCAGAGGGTCTTTGAGACGTCTGCAAATGGTGGCCATGCGACCGAGGGCCGCGCGCTTCAGCTGCTTGCACTGGAACAGAGACTGGGCATATTTGATCAGACGGACATAATCGCGGGAAACAGTCTCAATAAGATGTTTGGCGGTAGAAACTTGACCCAAAGCGATTCTGAAATGGTCGGCATCGTAGAGTGTGTTCATCAAGTCCTTGTCTAGTAGCTGTTAGACCGTTGCACCGGGAGAATAATCCAAGCCCAAAAACCTACGGAAAGGATGAATATCCTGAAGCCGGGGGAATCCATCTAGAATGGCCTGGAACTTTTCGCAGAATGTCTCTTGGGTATATTTGACCTTTCGGGTATAAAAGCCTAACCAGCAGGGGCAAAATTCGTATCAGCAAAATCCGAGTTTTATCTTGTTAATTCGAATCACAATCACTTTGGTCCGAAATTAACGATCGGGGACTGCTAAATACCTCTGATACGGCTGATTTTGAAACCAGCACGAATCTGAGTCGGCAGCTGTCTCTGTGTACGGCTGAGAACGACATCCAGAAATTCCTGGCTCGTGGGCACAGGAGCGATCTGAGAAAAGTACTCTATCAGTTTCACGGCTCTGGAGCGTAACGGCAGCATTTTAGGCGCAACCAAAGATAACTCACATCCTTCCAAGTGGTCTTCATGATGGGCAACCTGAGAAGTACCAAATATGACTCTCAAGAATATCCCAGAAGGTGATGATAAGATTTTCAAGTCTCCGAGTCGAAGCACTTCCTGAATAAGAAAGAAAAAAAAATATTCCGGGCGGTCGGCGCAAAGTTTTGGCGGGCGGTGAGAGGCGCAATGTGGGGAACTTTTTTTCCTTTCTGGTAGCCGAGAGGAAAGAGAGCCGTCCAGATAAACTACTATAGTTACTGTCGATTCGGTTACAAACAGTTCACTTTCATGGTTTTCCCTCTTCAATGGCTCTCTATCATGATCATGTACATTGAACTACCGCGGGACTATGATACACAAATATTCCTGCCCTGACCTGAAAACTAGCCGCCTATTCATGGTCGTCATCAGCATGGGGTATCTGTCCCAGAACCATCGTAGCCCAGACAAACTCCGTTGCTTTTCTCTTGAACCCATCATGTAAGAAGACCAAACCCAGTGTTTCAACATAACATGCGTCAAATGTCGCGTGGGAATTGTGAAAAAAACAACAAAGGGGAAACTTAAAACAGGAGGAAAAGGAAGATATCATAGAAGGGAAAAAATGAGAAAAGAGAAAAAAAGGACCAGGTAAGAGGAAGCCATGTCAACTAGGCGCAACATCAGTCGCAGCCATCCTAACCGCTCCATGACAATTTACTCTCCGATGAAATCCAACACCTGGAGTTGGTCAATTACAGGCTGCACTTAGGGGTGCTCTTCAGAAAGACTTCACTTACCAAATTTGTCCAACCGCCACCGCCGAACTGACACTTGCTAGGACCACGGTTCTCGAATCCAAAAGATTCGTAGAATGGCACCAGTTGATCATGGGCTATGATAGAAATGCGCTCGGCGATCTGTGCTTCTCTGATCCTGTGGATGTAGGACTTCAACAACGTGGTGGCAACCTGCTTGCCCTGGTGCTCCGGCAAAACAGCCAAGGAATGGATAGCAATCGTGCCACCATCTTCGTCATGGCCGACAGTCTCTCCGTTCTCCACAGCCATGCGCTCGGTTTGCCAGTTCGCGGGAAGCTCCATAGCTCTGTCGGTCACAAACGGAGTCGAAATGCGAGTCGCAACGATGTGCCCAACCAAGGTCGGACGAGGTTTCGGCTGGTCCTCTCCTAAGATAGGAAGTGTAAAGAGACCCAAGCAAAGTTCAGGGCATCGGTTCAGGCGATATACAAACTTTGACACCAAGTCAGCTAGGCGATAGATTGGAAAGTTGGAGTGGAAAATATGTCCATACCTTCTCTCGGGTACAGCGCTCTTGTTCGGGAAACGCGCTCTCCACGTTGACACAGTCCTCCACATTCGACACAGTCAAGACCTGCACAAAAGGATGCAACTCGTCCAGCTTGGTGCGTTGATGCACAGGCGGGCGACGGAACCAATAAGGAAATTCGTTAATATCGTCATGGTCCACTGCAACGTAGTCTTCGTCGACCTCTTCGTCATCGTCATCCACCTCTTCCATGGGGATCCCGTTGACCATTGAAAAATCTCCACGGGCACTCAGACGTGAGAGGTCATCTCCGGTCGTAGGCAGGGAATACCCGTCCGCGTTCGATAACGGCTTGAACCCATTGATGGGCTGGTCCGCAGCAGACTTATCAACGGTATAATCGGACATTATCTGTCGATCCCAGGATTCGATTTTCAATAGGTCGCAAAGTCGACGTTCCTTTGGAATTTGCAGGGTAGATAGAAAGAAAATTTGTAAAATGCGAAAGCAGACAGATGTACTCAAAGAGAGGGGAGAAAAGTCCAAGCGGACAGGATTTGCTGAAGGTGCAGGATTGTGGAAAGGATTGGCTGAAGGGGACCCTAGGAGGGATGAAAAAGAGTCGAATCGAGGGGCGTGAATCCTCGGAAAATGGTGGGGATCAAAAATTAGCTCTGATGCGGACGGGCGATAAGACTTGAGTCGGGTTGCAGTTCCAGAAGCTTAGGGCCGGATCGTAAGCCAAAAGACGCAAGCCACCAGTTAAGCCTGAATGAAGGAGGTTTTCAAGTTAGGAACTGGAAAGCGTAGTTTACCAACCAGATCTTCTAAAACGCACGTAAGGGAACGTGAGTGGGTTATTGTGTGCCAAAGGATGGATACAGTGAGGCGTTTGATTGCCACTCCCACAGAGGCAAATGAAGGATATTGTGGAAGTGTGACCCGGGCACAGTATGATTGGCTGTTCTTTTTTTTTTCTTTCTTTTTTCTTTTTTCTTTGGTATGTACGGAACAAAAGGAATACAAAAAATAGAGACCAGAGAAAGAGAGCAAAGCAATCGAACAGGGAAAGCAATCAATGATCGAGGAATATGCGTGTTCCTGAAGGATCTAATCCACTATCCACCGATAGGGACTAAAAGTGTCGGTCGATCGATCCCCCTGCAGATGGTCAGAAACTTCAGAACTAAAAGTCTTACTGCTGGGATTAATTTATTTAATTGCTAGGGCTTTAATTGATTGCTTTCCATCCGGTGAAGATTGCCGAAACCAAGCGCGGGGTATTATTGACTGTAGTTATATGGATACTGATAGTAATGCAAGTCATGTTCGTATGTAATTTATTCTAGTACAGACTCCAGAGTGGTCTACGCGTACCATTGACGGGTGGGTAGGCTGGGGGACGGGGAGATATGGAGAAATTTGACGGTTTCTGCCCCGTAACCGGATGGGTCCCGTACGGAGCACGAGTTTTACTAGTCGGTGCTACGACTAGTCAATACTCCTGAGATATGTTGCTCGTGTCAGTTAAAGCATGGACTCTTGTGTCTCGTCACACTGCTAATACTTCAAACCGGGTCATGGAACACGTGCCGTACGTACGTCTCAGTCTAGCAAGGATCCTGTAAGGGGGTCTCTATGACAAGATGACCTACCATCTTCTTCTCAGGAATGAGCCAGCACAACATCTGTAAATATTCACCACCAATTGATGATATATTAATAACACACCTCATGATAGAGAATAGACTGCTATATCTGAAATTCGTCATGGTCTATCCTTTACACTAGATATAGTGCTCGTTGATTGGTTTCTCCGCACCTGATTACTTGCAGTAGTGGGTGTGTCCATGCATACTAGTAGGGACCGAGCCTTACTTCTACAACAAAGCAAGTAAGGAGTCCTTGAGAACGTAACAAACCAGGATAGCAAAGCATACAACACTGTCCATCTCACCTTAAGCAATTTCCTTGCTACCATGGCCGAAGCGTTTCCTGCCAACAATGGCATGACTTCATTCTGGCGTACCGAACCTCATTTTCTCGATAGTCATCGCTCAACCGAGGGGCTGCCTGATGCTAGTGATATTGTCATTGTTGGGGCAGGATATGCAGGCGTATCAACTGCATACCACTGTATGCGTCTTAGTCAATCCTCGTCAGCTGATAAACCTTCTATAGTAATACTGGAAGCCCGCCAGGCCTGCTCGGGGGCTACGGGTCGCAATGGCAAGTCACAACTAAATCTAGGCAGCTACAGAAGTGCTGACTCTGACATCTGATACCCCTAGGTGGCCATCTGAAACCTGATGTATATTACCAAGTCAGTGCCTTGGCAGATAAGTATGGAATTGACGCAGCAGAAGAAGTGGCCGCTTTTGAGTTGGCGCATATGGCAGCGGTTCAGTCTTGTGTAGAAGAGGAGAAGATCGATTGTGACCTAGAATTCGGCAAAGTCATTGATGTGCAGCTTGATGATAATCACTGTGCCAAAATCAAGACGGGTTACGAATCTCTTCTTGCTCAGGGAGCCCTTACAGCAACGGAGGCCGATTTCAGTCCAAAAGAGACTGCGGAAGCTGTGAGTACCAGCTCAGCCATTGCAGATTTCTTTGTATATTCACCCCCTGCGTAGGTGTCTGGCGTGAAAGGCGCCCGGGGCTGCTTTCGCTGTCGCACAGGGCGACTTTGGCCATATAAATTTACCACCCAACTCTTGGAGCGAACTGTGTCGGCCGGCGTCAACCTTCAAACTCAAACACCCGTGCTCCGCATATCTGAAACCCCTGACGTTGATGGACGTTGGACTGTCGTGACTAGCCGAGGTTCGGTTCGAGCAAAATGGATTGTTTTCTCCAGTAATGCATATACACCTGCCATCGCTCCCGAATACAAAGGCAAGATTGTCCCTGTACGGGGGGTCTGTAGTCGGATTGTGGTGCCCAACCTACCGAAAAATCCGCTGAATTGCTCTTACACATTGCGTTTCAATGCCTGGGACTATGACTATCTGATCCCCCGACCGGATGGCAGTATTGTTGTTGGCGGGGGAAAGTCCACGTTTTTCCATGACTCCAGCGAGTGGTACAACAATACGGACGACAGCAGATTGATAGAGTCTGCTACGCGGTACTTTGACAATTACATGCAACAGCACTTCCACGGTTGGGAGGACACAGGGGCATATACCGACCGTGTTTGGACGGGAAGTGCGTCTCCTTCTGTTCTAGCTCGTTCGTGACTTGATTTAAATAACTGGTGCTGACTTCTTGCAAATAGTAATGGGTTATAGCACCGACTCCTTGCCGCATGTTGGACACATCCCAAACAAACCTTGCCAGTTGGTGATTGCCGGCTTTAACGGCCATGGAATGCCACAAATCTTCCTCTCAGCACAGGCGATTGCGCAGATGGTTATCTGTGGAGCTACGTATGAGGAGACGAAGTTACCGCGATTGTTCAAGACCACCCCGGAACGGCTGAGCAGCCCAGAGAACCACATCCGGACACATTTGGAGGCTATTTGAATAAGAAGCAATAAATTACGTACATGAATGGGTCCTAGTTTGAGTCAACATGTTCCGAACCTTCAACTCGGTATTCTACAATGTTGGCGTTTACACGTATCTATGCCATAGTCTCTAGCAGTGCTGCACTGTCCTGACCAAGCTGAGGGATTGTAAGCAATAACGGGAACTCAGGAATGAACACTACTCCCGAATACAATGAGTGGATTTTTCTGGTGAAAGAAGATCATTGCCATGTACTGTTGATTGTGGAGATGTCAACTTCTTTTTTTTATCAATCTCCGAGCAGCGGGTGTTATCGGCGCCAATCAGAAGCCGAGAACGGAATGCGTCATTATCCGCATCGACTCATTTTTGTTTTCTCCGAATGTCCCCCCCCTCACTCCTCTCTGCTGCTCTCTTTCTGTACCATCTTTCTTCTTCGGGCTTCTTCCTTCGCAAACTCCTATGTATTCATTCCTGGAATTAGGTTCTTTCATCCTCGACAGAAATGAAACATGAGTTCTAGGGCGCTGACTTGGCCGCGGACTGCGAAGTCCTCTCTACTAAAGGTAAGCATGAAACCCTCTCTCTTTTACATTGCGTTTCAATTGACCCTGTCGTCCTGTAGCAGCAACAAACCTCCTCCTTCGTCGGTCAGCCAAGTTTGGGAGTTTCCAACTGCCGGTCCTTCTCCTCTACCGCCGATCGGCCGATCAACCAAAGTGCCGAGTTTTCGTCCAGCAGCAAAAGTTATGACCGACTGGGTCGTCGGGCCAAGGAAAAATTATTGGATCGTGTACGATGGTCGCCCAGTACCAACAGTTTCAGGACGTATCCACTGACTACTTCAATGGCTTTTCCGGTTATAGGAATTTTTCCTTAGTCTGCTGAACTCCGCGTCTACGAAACGAGAGGCTAAATCGTATCTGGCTCGCTTGAAAGCACAACATTCTCCGAAAGCGCAGACTAAACCAACCGCCAGACATTCGAAAGAAACAGTTGCACAATCATTACCGTCGGGGGTTAACCTAGGTTCATTCTACGGAGCCTCGCGGTCTGTGTATGATAGCCCTGTTTTCCGCCATGACTCAACGCCTCTCCCGCTACCGTTACAATTGCCAGAGGAAAAACTACATCTAGCCCTGATTAAACTCCGGACACCGCAGCTACTTGATGATACTATTATCAATGGAGTGGCCAAGACCCTGTCCCAGCTGAGCCGCCTAGGGATGGCTTGCTGTGTTGTGGTTGACCCTGGAACTGCGGACAATGCAAATACCTTACGCAGGGTTGCTGCAGAACAAGCCGAACGTATTTCAATCGCAGTAGATGGACAACCAGATTCAAAATCTGCCCATCTCGACTCGGTCTTGTCTTTGTCCCCGATATATCCGGAACAGCCCGCCGTTCTATCCAGAAAGGCACTCCTCAATCCGCTCCGCGACGGCCAAATTGTGGTTCTTGCCCCCATTGCCTACACGGAAGATGTTCCTAAGGCAGTTACTATATCTGCGAATGATGCCATTCTGGCTCTCACAAAAGAGCTTGCCGGCCTGGCGATGCGCCCCGACCCTGATGAAGACCCTTGGCTCACGGCGCAGAAAATCGCTAAGCTGCAAAAAGAGGTTTCTTTGGATCGAGTAATTCTCCTGGACCCTCTTGGAGGAATCCCTTCCTTCAGAGGACCGCAGACATCGCACGTTTTCATCAATATGGAGCAGGAATTTGATGATATCAAGAATGAGTTGCTTCACGTACAGTCCAGTGAAGCTTGTACAGTAACCGCACCAAAACGGGAAGATACCTCCATTCAGGATCCTCTGGAGAGACACCTGGACAACTTGCAACTGTCGCAAAGTGTGCTTGCTATGCTCCCATCAGCGTCCTCAGGGATTATTACCTCTCCGCTGGAAGTTTCTAATTCAGCTAGGACACCCCAGGCTAACCCGTCAGCTGTATCTGCTGTGGGAACCCGACGACAGCGAAACCCGCTCATTCACAACCTACTCACAGACAAACCGCTGCTTTCCTCTTCACTGCCCGTGAGCCGACGAGAGGCGATGAACCGTAGACGAGGCTCTATAAATTCCCCTAGTTCTCATACAACATTTGTCAAGCGAGGCATGCCTATCACAATGATTCCCAATCCACGAGTTGAGGTGTGGACAGCGCAGAACCGGCCACGGCTAACGCTGGATGATCCGAGCATCGACCTCCCGCGATTAGTTCGTTTGATCGAAGACTCCTTCAACCGTAAACTTGACGTCCAAGATTATCTCAATCGGGTTAACGATCGGTTGGCCGGACTGATCATTGCAGGAGAGTATGAAGGTGGTGCTATCCTCACGTGGGAGCTGCCGCCGGGTGTGGAAGATGATGGTAGCCCGGCCAGTGAAGCTCGGATGGTCCCATACCTGGACAAGTTTGCCGTCTTGAAACGCAGTCAAGGAGCTGGCGGTGTGGCCGATATTGTGTTCAATGCTATGGTTCGCTCATGTTTCCCCAACGGGGTGTGCTGGCGCAGTCGCAAGGACAACCCAGTGAATAAGTGGTACTTTGAGCGCTCTACGGGGACGTGGAAGCTATCTGACACCAATTGGACTATGTTCTGGACGACTCCAGGATTGACAGAGAATTCGCAACAGTTTTCCGATTATGAGCAAGTGTGTCGAAGCATTCAGCCGAGTTGGGCTGACGATACGGGTGTTGTTGATTGATGGATATAGACCTTCCGGCCTTTCTTTTTGCCTGGAACTAGTACATAATACGCACCAAGTGCAGCAGGGGTTCTGGCATGAATGTATATACTTAGACAGATCGATGAGAATATCCTCAAATGGACATTAACATGAACACTCACCGCCTTCGGCCTAGACACCGAACTGCCGCCGCGATTCCCTCGCGATGGAGCTCCCTGACCTCTCCCTGAAGTAGACATTGACTATGGATCTCAGGATGACTAGAAGTCAATGACATGATGCCTATCTGCATCGAGTGCTCGTACCCCGTGTCGCATTTGTACAGCACTTACAGTCGTGCCGACGATCGCTCGTTAGGCAAAGGCGTGCGCTTGACACAATGTCCACGCTGCCAGCGATTCGCGGATAAGTATGTTGAATATGATTTTGTCGTGATCTTCATTGATCTCGTTTTGATCAAGCCGCAGGTATGCATACTGAAGCGATGGCTTGTTTGGGAACTAGTATACTGACCGCAGAAGGTCTATCGCCATCTCCTTTTTAATAGGCTTGGAGGAGACAACAACCAATTCGATGTACGTCCCGTTATTTCTCACTCGCTTTCTCTTCTAGTCTATAGTGTCCTCGGCATTAGGATTTGTCCAGCTGACCAAATTATCTGCTCTCTAGCGCTCTATCATTCGTCTAGGAGTCCTTCTACTTTTGTTTGACGTCTATCTGACATGGGCACGCATTGAGAAGTCTCCCTCGTTGGCCACCACCTTCCTCTCGCGCGCACCGATCGTTGTCCAGTACTTTTTCTTCTTGGGCCTAAATGCGCTTGCGACTCTTGCCCATCACCTCACCATCCGTGTCCTAGCTTCCGTACTTGTCCCAGCGCCTAGCGGTTTGAAGCAGAATGGTAGCAGCTCGAATACTACCACAGCAGATAGCCCCCTCTCCACTCCCTCAACACCAGTACATACCTCTCCACCTCAAGTCACGAATGCGCAATCCCAAATATCTCCCACATCAGCGTCCATGTTGAGCCCACCTAGGCTCACTCGGCAAGGCTCTTACGATATTCCATCAGCGGGTGGAGGATTCTCAACTGCAACCAGTTTAGGAAGTGACAATCATGCCGTCCTTCCAGCAACTCACGGCTCGTTACCACGACCTCCTTTGCGCCGCGCTTCTACAGCTCCAATTCAGAGCATTCAACCGCTGCCTCCTCCAACCCCCGCCAGCCCCACCGCCATCAGCACTGCGCTTCTCGTTAGCAGCTGTGCCAAACTTTTCCCGATACTGCTTGTTATCTGGGGCGACGGCAGTGGCATTGCGTCTCAGACACCCACCAACAGCAGTGTAGGGACAAGTCGAGTGACCCCGGGCAATCTCTCGCAGCACGCGCTGAGTGGTATGACCCCCGCGGCAACGACCACCACAACAGGCTCGCCAGGAATAGCGGGATCACCATCGGCAGCTTCGTCAACACTTCTAGAAAGCTTGATTCAGATGCTACCTCAGTCTGTACCGACAAGTTACCTAGCAAACTTTGTCGAGCTGACAGGCTCACTTTTCTCACTGGGGGCAGCCGATACACATCTGGTGCTGTTGAGTAATATCGAAGCCCTATATGTCCTCTTAGGATGCGGGTACCTCCGCGCTGTAACACTAGCAGTCGCCGGACTAATGGCTCGATGGACAGTACAGAGAGTCATCCTAGGAGCAATAGGGGTTGGCTAACATTTAACGGGAATAATTATCAGATCTTTAAAGTGACAAACGAAACTCATCCTGTTCACGAGAATCTATGAATCACCGCTGAGAAAACATCAATGCAGCAACATGAAAAAGAAAGAAAAAGTAGTACCAAGCATACACAAGATAACTATACAAAAATCCATAACCCACTTCATTCATCTACCTTCCAAACCCAACCCAACATATCCTAGTCCCCCCAAACCAAGAACCCAATAAAGAAAAATCACTGCGGTACCCGTTCAGGTCTAATATCCGACCTCTTCGGCGTAATAAGTGGATGCCACTGCGCCATAAACGTAATCGCTGCACATATCATAAATTAGCACACTCATTCTCTCAACCCATACCCCAAAGACCCAAACCCAGTAGGTATAAAGGAAACAGAAAAGGATAGGAAAGAAGAAGAAAAAAGACATACCCCACATCAAATAACAAGACACAAACGAGAGGATAAGCGTACTCCGCCAGAGCCTAAGATACCCGTTAGACACAGATCCGAAAAGAACATTAATTAAAGGGAGGAGGAGAGGGGTGCATACGTCTGGTTCTCGCCCTTAGGACTGAATAGCCAAGCGACAACGGACGCGACGGCGATGACGATCAAGCCGATGATTAGACTCCACCTTTTGTTCCATTCTATTAGTTTTTCTTTTCTTGGTCTTTCGGGGGATGGGTGAGGAGACACACCCGTTTGCCATTTTGTATCTTGGTTATTCTCTTTCGAATAGCTATGATTCGGTGGATTGTAGGTAGTGGACGGTCAATGCACTCGGACACAGGGACCAGCCGGTGTCGTCTTGTCCTTGCTCCTTTTTCTTTGTGTGGAGATAGTCGGTAATTGAGTGGGTGGTTCCGATGCTGGGGATGCGGGTATGCTGGCTTCGTTCGGTGGTTTGTATCTGTTCGCAAGTCGAGGTATCTCTGATGTTCTCCACCGATGCGGGAATCGGCGTTGCCTTCGAGGAGGTAGAATGGACCGCTTGCCTCGTAAGGGGCGGAGGGTTTGGCGCGGGTTGAGATGAGCAAGAGCGATCGATATTGACTCGGTGGTGGGAGGATTGTTGTCGTTGAGGTGGACTCTCCGCGGGATAAAGGTATGGGATGTCGGAGCTCTAGGCTGGGGGAGCTTGTAGGTGGTGTTGGCGCCTGAGGCAGAGTTGCTGGGTGGTAGGCGGTGATGAGTTGCAGAATGGGATTCATTTTGCGTAAGGCTTCAAGTTGTTTCGATAGGAGACTGCATGTGGTGGGTTTTGGCAATTTCATGTGAGAGTTAATGCTGTCTCTTGATTTTATTTCTGTTTATACCACGATGTTAAAGTGGAGGGATTAAGCTTATTCGCCCACTCCAAGACAGTTCTCAGGCTTAGAAGACTTGCTCTACAATCTACAAATCAACTTTACGCATCAATAGAGCCACGAATGACCCTACATATCCATAAATTGGGGGATATAAAACATCTGCACAGTGCATCAGGGGGTAGTTCACAACGTAATCCGACGGTTCCATAACAGCTGGCCAAAAGAAGAACGTAACGAAAGAGTGAAAAGAAAAAATAGATTCAAAGGGGTGTGTTAAGCTCCCTCACGGCTCTTGCGGTAGCTAGCCTGCAAGACAAGTCAGTTATAAACATCTCCAAACCGACGCAAAAGATCATACCTCTTGTTCAACTTGCAAACCATCAACCACAGGAGCCAGCTCGCTGAGGATTTCATAAGCCCGCTTGTGGAACTCAAGCTGGGCGGCGATCAAGTCCGCCAGGTTTCTCAAAGGCTCAGGGGTGTCCAGAACCTGATAGACAGTTAGCAAACTTCCCCGTAGCACCTAAAGAATTTGCAACTCACATTCTTCATGACGCTCACAGCCTCCTCGGTCTGGCTGACGAACTCATCTTCGGCCTGTTCGATCTCCTGACGGGCCTCCTCGCTCAGGTTGTCCAGATCACCCCTAGCGGCCGCCTTCTTGCTAGCCTTGACCGAGTCCAGCATAAGACGGGCATTCTCGACATTTCTGCGCGCCTTGGCCGCAAACAGCAGGTTGGTATTGAGGGTCGTGTTCCACCCAGCGAGGAAGCGCGACTGGATCTGTCCATCCTGCGACAGACGGGCCTCACCTACTTTCTCCGAGGCTAGCGCATACTTCTCCAGGGCAGTGGCCAGAGGATCCTCGCCGGTGGAGCTCTGCGCCAGAGTCTGAGATCCGGACAGAGAGGCACGGGCAATGGCATGGTTGAAGGTCTTAGGCTGAGGCTTGGCCGAAGGAGGGGCAGTCAGGGCAGCCTGGGCCTCTGCAGGGGAAGAAGCTTGAGAGAGAAGCTGAACCTTTTCACCGATGGTCCGGCCTAGGTCGTTGAATGACTCGCGAATGTTGGGTGGGTAGTCGTAGGCCTCGTTAGAGTACTGCGAGCTGTATGGGATTGGTCAGCGCTCTTATCATGGGGAAGCAGCAGACCCTTTCCAGGGCCTTTCAAGGAGATGTCACTTACGTCACCTGAAGGAGCTTCTGGTGGACCAACTTAAGAGCGTCCACGCGCTTCTCAAGCTCAAGGTATTCATCGGGAAGTTGAGTCTTATCTTCGGCTTGACCCAACTGCTCTTTGATCATCTGCTGCGTGCGCGCAGCGAAAGGCGAAAAGCTCGCACTACCCGCAAAAGCAATATAAGATTAGAAACATGTCAGCAGAGGGCTTTGGATGTTGAGGGCTATCACCGGTGGAAGCGACAATGGAGGGGTGTGGGATAATAGCAGCCTCGGAAGTCGTTTCATCTCACCTAAGGTTCTTTCCAAACGCCTGCACTTTGTCCATACTGCAAGTCAAGACAATCTGACTGAAAAGTGATATTTCGGGGGAAAAGATGACTTCAAGAGGGCAGAAGTTGTCCTTAGGCAGAGCACGAGGATTTGTTTGGTTTATGAGTGCTCGCAGATCACGGATGCACGCTCACCGCCTTAGATGAAGTTCAGTGCACCGCCACGTTTCACAATAAATTACATTGAATTAACTATAGTAACTAATGTATGTCAATCTGGTTAATGTGACCCATCCCTGGTACCAACCTGCAACCATCCTTCACAACCCGAAATCACAGAAGAACACAATGGCAACAAGACAAATCAAAACAAAAGAGAAGGGGAAAAAGTGCAAACATTGGTCATTATTATCGTCATGTAATGTCAATAGCCGAAAACCCCGAGAACCCCAGTCGAACACCCTTAAGTCACAGCCAACTCAGTATTATATCATACAGAGGAATCATTGCTGAACGTCTAGGTCAATGAATCATAACGCATGATAGGGATCGGTAAGTCGTAAGGAACAATCGTGTAACAAAGTCTCGAAGCGACCACGCTTAGGTCAGGGTTGCCATCATCGCACGGAGGATTCGAGGATTGGGGCCTAGGGTCGCACGGCTCAGAATTTAACTCATCGCTTCCTTGGAACAAGACACAACTTACCTTTACGATCTCTCTTCGTCTCGATCACCTCCTCATAGTCGCCATCGGTCAGCAACTCTGTTTTCCGAGTCACTTCACCGCTTCGTCGCGCCAATGGCATATATTCACGGATATCTTCGTCACTGTCTCGGGGACGCACCACGATGAGCGGGCCTGCATGAGAGCTGCTGGACTCAGCATAGGGCTCGACCATGCGCACAGGTGATGACCGACCACGGCGGCGACCATGGACCGAAATCGACCGCGTACGGGAGACAGCTCTCGTCACTTTCCGCTCCGAGATATCATATTGACGCGCTCGCGATCGGTGCCGTGAGGGCGACGGCTCAACAATCAGAGTGTTGTAGCTTGTCCGGGGCGAATAGGCCTCCATGGCGACTCGTTCCACTGTCCTGTCTTTTGTCTTTTCCCGGACGGGGGACGGCGAGGTGTGGATGATCCGAGCTGGGAGACTGTTAGTTAATATACTTTCTAGGTCTTGGGAGCGTGGTCACTTGCTTTCGGTCCGCCGCTTGATCGTGCGACTTCGACTGATCACTTCGTCGATTTGTTCCTTGGAAAGCGCAAGTTGGATAATGACCATGTCACCCTGTCACGCGTCAGTCAACGTCGAAGTGGATGCAATCCACATCTGCTCCACCTGAGGACACGTACCTCTTCCTCATAAGGGTATCCAAGCTCACGAATTGCATGGGTATGAATTAACTTTCGGGGTACCCTGGTCTTGCCTTTACGAGGATACGGTTTGTCGATTCCAACCTTCTCTTCGACTACCCGCTCGCGGAAATGACTGCCCGAGCGACGCGGGTGCGCTGAAGCGCGACTTCGTTCCCGGAAACCGCGATACTCCTCGTCACCGTAATAATCCGGTTCTGCGATGCGGATCTCCTCGTAGTAGTCTGGCTCGCGGGAGCGTCGAAAGGACCGTCTCCGCGCCGGTGGAGGGCTGGGGGCTGCCCTGGTAGAGGCCGGGCGATAGTAGTACTCATCTAGCTTGCGCGAGGGGATTCGGTCGAACGTATCTAAGGAAGATTGCCGTCGTAGGAGACGGGGGCGGGGAGGAGGGCTGTCCGCGCGTGAATGGTCATAGGCCACCAGCGGTCCCGACGGGTGAATAAGATGGTCGTCCTCATACTGCTTGCCGGGGCGGCGTGCAGGAGGGCCGTACCGGTCATGTTCCTGTAGGCGATATTCAAATCGTTCATCCTCTACCCGGCGGGGTCGATCGAGAACTGGCGGGCCACGGGAATGATGGCGTTCCCGTCGCTCGCGAGCAAAACGATCCGGATCCCAGCGGTCAGGCTCTGTTTCGAGCACTCCAGTGGAGCGACGAAATTCGTGGTATCGAGACATGTGCTTAATAATTACGAGGTCCTATGATCAGGGATTTGTAGAAGAAGCGGTGTTAATAATGATCTGGTGGATGCGAACCGTGGGTGACGACAGCGGCTGACACTGCGGGCCGCCGACGGCTGATGGCGGGGTGTTTTGCAGTAGAACCGTGGATAGCGATTAGGGGAAGAGAGAAATGAGAGTTGGACTGTTCCGCACAGTGGAGAAGTTGACTGTGGACTGGAACGAGACAGACAACAGAGGGTTGACAAGGCGGGTATAAATGATAATCGAGAATGGATAGAGAGGAGTGAGCATCATCGAACAAACACAAGCCAAAAAAAAAAAGTCAAAAAGTTGATAGATAGTAAAAAACGATAAAAAACGCCGCTGCCTGAGTTTCGAAACGGGCCACTCACGATGACGTCCGAGGCGCCCAGTCGCAGTCAGTGTATAGTGTAGTGTTTCCATTACCGTATTATTCCCTCCGCCCTATATTTCTGGAAGCAATTACGGGCGATTCAGAGTATGCGCCCGGTCACGGTTATTCTTAGCCATTCGCCACGAGGCTTCGCCTTCTCTTCTGATCGAGACGCTGACTATCTCCTCCTGCCCAACCGTTGAAGCTGAATGGGCGAGATATCGTCGATCTCTGACACTAACCAAGCGCAGGACAGGGGTCCAGCATCAGATACTGACTAGACCAACAAGGTTACTCCCCCGGAACTACTACTGCGTACTACTAATCTAGGGTCCGTACCTACTATGAGAAAGTCGATGTGGCTACTAGGTACCCAATCCAGTGCAAGTTCTAGCCTGTCGGTTTCAGCTCGACACCTGCCTGCATCTTTTGGGCATTACATTATCCGCCTATGCGCCGTAGGCGAAAAAGCATTAGTCTACGCAATCCGTACATCCCGACTGGGCGTCGTTGTCTGCTAGAAAAGTGATACTGCTGATGCATATCAGCATGTGGATTCAACTAAGTGGTCCCAAATAGCCATGTCTAGAACGCAAGGTACTCCACACGGTCGATACAAATCCAACTGCAACGGAAAGGCTCCGGCCCCAAGACATCCTCCACTATTCTGCAAGGGCATTGCCGATCTGCAGTCTTAGGTGTCTCTGCGAGTAGCTCTATATATATGGTACCATTCCTACAGCTGACAGCTGTCCGCTCTTCCAGTCTGGGAAGGCAGCAGACGGGAAGCAAAGTTACGGGTGCAAAACCGCGAATCATGTCCACTTGTAATCGCACACTTGTCCTGCAACTTCGGCAGAATAATGGTAGCCACAGTGGAGCCTCAAAGTGCCGTTTAGGGACACCTGCTTCTTCCTTAGTAAAATGTGTCTTATGAGTCTCGCTAGGAAAACCTAAACTATGAGGTTTCCTTTCCCTGATGCTTCTCCCCGAAAGTCGCATTTGAACAACGGAGATGTCTCACCTCATCCTAAACCGCGTCGGTCATCGTGATGTGGATCGGGACGACATCAAACTTTTCGCTAGTTGACAATATGCAGGATACTGCGCTACACCCGCTCGTCTATCCCCAAATTTTCCATGTCGTCCTCCAAGCTCAAAACCCCCATGGCATAGCGCACATATGGAGGCTTCACTTTTACAAAGCGCCTTTCGGAGTTTTCATTAGCCTGACTTTCTGTAGCCGACATCCAAGCGGGCGGCTGGTGCACAACGGCCTCATCTGGCGGATGATATGGGGGACCACGTCCTTGCTTTGCAGCAGCTTTCCATGCGCTCTCACATCCATGGACTATGGCATCTGATGCTTTCCAGCCCGTCAAGCGGGAGATGGTGCGCAATTTAGTGACTGTCCATTCACGCTGAGGAGGATCTGTGAATTGCACGGCGGCGAAGAAGATAGGCACGGTGATTTCGATCAGACAAGAGCCAAGGGTGGGGCTCAAACTTCCTGCTTCTAGATTAAACAGTTGTGGGTAGTAAATGCCTGCCGCGATCTTTCCAATGATTTGAGAGAATTCCGCCGTAGTAGGTGCAGCTACGCCCGCAGCTACCATCATTGCAGGTGGCATGCACGGATGCATTCTTTGCAAAAGGATGCGGCCTAAGTAGTAATAGCCCCATATTACTGCAATCGTATGCGTACGGTACTGAAGGGCGGGCCCAAACACAGTTGAGATGGGAGGTGCACTATCAGAAGGTAGAGGCCTGAAGTACGGCCCAAGAGCATGAGCAAATGTCTCAAAGGCCGCCAAAATACTCTCCCATTCCTGTTCAGCTTCAGTATACGATAAAGTTTCAGAGTCGTCATCTTGTCCAACAGAGCCAGCCTGAGTCGTTGCTTCGCCAAACGCTAAAGGCAGTCGCTTGGGTCCACTCGCTGGGACCATACCGTACATGGGAGGAGCTCCTGCCTGTGGTCCAGTACTATTGTTGTGTGACTGGTGTGGCTCTGGTGATTTTCCCGATACCGACTTTTCCGACCCACCTCCAGACCACGGACTAGACCTGGCGCTGTTGGCACCGTGCGCCTGTGCTCCAGCAGGGACACCAGAAAAGGCAGGAGATGTGTTGGACGACGAGTTCGAAGCAGGTCTGGCCCGTGCATCCGGGGGGCCCTTAGCGAAATGGGCCATGAATTTGGAGAGTTCAGGGCCTGGCCTCCAATTTGATCCCGTCGCTGCCATGGCAGCTATTTTTCTTTTCCTATCCCGAATCCCAAAATTGGTTACTCGGGCGAGTAGCAGCCACAGATGGTCTGCTGAGCCGTAGATAGCGTCTAATCTGCCCAAACCTGCTCGTGGAGGGCACTGGCCCCATTGGGAACTGGGCATGCTATTTTGCCGTTAGCTCATGAAGTGTCAATTAGTGGCATAGAGCTCTACTAACAACATCTCATTGCCGGTAAGCATGCTCTGAAAGATATCCTGCTTGAAATACCACCAATAAAGGTCACATTGGACCCGGAAATTCTCAATGTCTTTTCGGGTGAAATATCTTTTAGAAGATCGCCCATCATGGCCATCGTCGACTTCGCCGAAATCGTCATAGTTAACCGCTCGACCGACGATGGTACCTATAATATTCTCATCGATGCTACTTTCCTTTTCAGCGAAAGGATCGTCTTCTGAAAACGTGTTACTAAGAGAACTACTCCCAGCAAACGGGAAGGTGAAGCCGCCCATTTCATATCGTTGAGCACATATTCTGCGTCGGTAAGCACGAAGGTCCCGCGCTATGCTGGCATAGTCGATCTCGCGCACCAGATGAGCTGCTCCTGCAATGTGGTTGTTCCATTTTGAAGGATCGGCGGCCATCACTTCATAATAACCTAATAGTTGAGCCGCAGCTAAAGTACCAACTTGTTTACGTCTCATGGGTAGGCCTACTGCCGCGCCGATTCTCTTGAGAGCATAGTGATAATGTTTCAGGGAGACCGTGGCGGGCACTTGCTGCAAGAACGAGATGTGTAAGCTACTAAGCGCAAGGATAGCTTGAAGCAATGCCGGGTGTTCCAATGCCTTGAAAGGCAGCGTGTATGTCCATAATCCTTGCTGTGCCACTGGTACCGGAGCACCGAACATAGTCGAAGGGTCAATGGGGTGACGCTCAAATATTGATAGAGAAGGGCCTGTGGAATGGATGAAATGAAGAAATATTCGAGCAGTTTTGGGATTGTTCAACGGAGATGAACCGAGGGTAGGGTGATATGAAGCTAGGATGTTAGGCTCGTTCAGATATGTTGTAAATGAACGGAGTTGCCGTTCATCTCTATTGGCAGAGGTCATTATGAGACTCAATTGATTGAAATTCTGCGTTGTGGTCTGCTCTTCTGGCTCTTCGTCAGTCTCAACATCATAGTAGTCATCATCATCCTCATCCATATATGTCATCTGGGATGGAGATATTGATATCTGTGCCGGTGTAACTTGGTGAAATTGCTGTTCTTCGTGGGTAGCAGCTGAACCCGCTGCCCAGGGCGACTTTGGTACCTCCCAGAGTGTTAGCACTAACCAACACAGTCATAGAACGCATAAGTTGGTCTTTTACCTGGGGTATACCAGATGGAGGTTGTGAATGCATTGTGTTGTTTGCTAGACTTTGAGACATGGAAGATGAGTGTGAGGAACGCTTGCTTTCTTGGATATCTGGGTAATAGCCTTGAATAGACAGGTCACGCGCGCCATGGTGTATGTAGTTTTCCCTTATCTCAGATTCCGTTTTCCGCGACTGTGATGTAACCCAGGAAGGAGGCTCAGGAGCCATATAGTGTTCCGACGCCGGATATGCCTGAGTCTGCCCTTCGCCCAGCAGATAAGCGGTCGGCATAGCATTAGTTGGCTGGCTTTCCTGTGGCCGCGAAAGCATGGTGGTCGACATAGGATCATGCCTCGTGGCTGGAAGTGTAACCGGCTTAGGGGCGAGGGCCGGTTGGCGAGAACCACCTGGCTTCTCATGCAACGATATAGGAGCATCGTATCCAGTAGAAATTGGTACTGTTGTTGTGTTGAATGTCTGCTGGAGGTTCGAGAACCCGGGAATGCCCAGAGGGTTTTTGAAGACTAGGCGCTGGGCATATCCTTTGCATTCTCGTTTCGATTTGATGCAGTTCTTGCATACAGGTTTTTCTTCCCCGCATTTGATGCGACGTTGCCGGCAAGCTTTAACAATTAGTCAAAGAAATCTATCATCTAACGGATCCCAATTAGGGGTCAATCGTACTTAAACATCCTGTTTTGGTGCGTCTTTTGGGAATTTTCTGAGCCGGTGCATCATCCAGCGCTGTCTGCTCTGTGTCTTGTTTTATGACAACTGAGTAGTCATGACCTGGCTCTGTAGCCGTGGTGCTGGCTAAAGCTTCCTGCCTGGGTGGCTTGATAGAGTTCGTATTCTCCATGGTAGTTGATAAGTCTCAGATGAGAGGTTTACTTCCATACTCAAGAAGGCGTTGAAATCTTCAGACAGTCAGGGACGACAGCAATGATATAGTGCACACCGAGATAGCTTCCGGCCGGAGCAGTGGAGCGACGAAGAAGTCAGCGTTGAAGTAACTTATGGAACAGAGAGTAAAGCACTACACTAGTTCCAGGAGGAAGAGGGCCTGAGGCAAATCTGATTGGCCTGAGGTACCGCATAAAGTTTCCCGATCAACTCACAGATCCTTGGGGGGCTTAAGAAGGTGGCAGACTAGCACTGGTTCCTCTGTTCATTTACGTCCAATCTCTCCTGTTTGGTTTATTTTTCTTTTTTTCTTTTTTTTGTTTGGTGTAGGTTTACCTATAATACAAAGTGATATACTATTTACTAGTAGTATCACAGGAATATGACATGTGCCGGTCCGTCTTCATGAAGATTTCAGTGCCGGTCCGGCCAAGACAAAGAACTTGCCAGATAAGGACCGGCGGTCTCAAACTAGCAAATGCTGTACGTACTCGGAAAAGAGGCTATCTGTCTTAGACGTTGCTAAGGTTTAAAACTATAAATAAAGATGTCCGTGGGAGTGAATACTAATACGATCTACACTGGTAAGATCCACCGTAGGATACTTTACTCCGAACCCGCGGGCAGGGGCGAAACATTTTCTAGTCCTATCCTATCACTTTGGTTTATAGGGACACCTTGTTGAACTGTTGGGGGGTATGTAGAAAAGGAAAGGAAAGAAGTAAGGGAGGAAAGAAAGGAGGCTTCGTGTTTTAATCTGTACGAGGCCAGGCAAGCCACCAAACCATTGCCATTCAAAAGAAAAGGCAAGAAAAACAAAGGTGAAGAAAAGACCTTGTTCTGGGCCTTGTCCCAACCTTAAGCTCATCCATGACCATGACCGTGCATCATCGCATTGACCGCCTTGCCATGGGTCGGCAGAAAATCACGAACTAACCGCGAAATTTTGTTCGAATCCCGCCTTTTACTGCCCGAAATTTTTGGAGCGGTTACTTCACATGATCGGGCATTCGTTCCCAGTGGATTTTACAGTGGGATCATTGCAGGATTAGTACGGATCAATTGAAGGCATTCGAGTTAGCTTCCCTTGGCATATAGCGTGATACCCTCATTCCTACACTCCAGTCATGTTCGCCGTTCCAGGTTGGTCGGTTTCAAGCTCTGCGCTGCAGGTGCAGACCGAGCCAAGATCACAATCTCAAGCCCAGCCCCAACAGGCCAACGGAACCCCCAAACCTAAGGACAAGAATAACAAGCGCAAGCGCGATGATCATGTTACCAAGGCAAATGTTGATGAGATGTTCCGCCGGCATATTGAGGGTCAGAGGGGCACCCCAAAACCTTCCAAGCAGGGGCCGAACAATTCTATGAAGGCTGAGAAGAAACAGAAGAAGGAACAAGATGTGCAAGCCAAGGCCGGGAAAAGCCCATCAGTGCCTCAAGGAAAAGAGGAATCCAAGCTGGACAAGCAAACCAAGCTTGATGTTGGTGAAACCAAGAAGGCGGACAAGAAACAGAAGAACAAGAAGAACAAGAACAAGCAGCAACAGCAACAGGAAACCCAGAATCAGACTGAAGTGACTTCTAAAGAAGCCCCAGCAGCCACTGGATCTATCACTCCCGCCCCGCCTAAGACTGAGGCGATTCTTACGCCTCTGCAGCAAGCCATGCGTCAGAAGTTGATCTCCTCTCGTTTCCGTCACTTAAACGAAACTCTTTACACAACGCCGTCTAGCAAGGCCCTTGAGCTGTTCACTGCCAGTCCAGAATTGTTCGATGAATACCACGCTGGCTTCTCTCGCCAGGTGAAAGAATCCTGGCCTTCGAATCCTGTTGATGGTTATATTCAGTCCATCCGATCCAGAGCTAAGGTGCCGGCTGCACCCAGGAAAGGAGACAAATCTGGCAGTAAAACTCGTGACCCGCTACCTCGGCGACCAAATGGGACATGCACCATCGCCGATCTTGGCTGTGGTGACGCTCAGCTTGCCCGTGTACTTATTCCCTCGGCGCAAAAGCTGAAGTTGAACTTTCATAGCTATGACTTGCACGCCCCTGAAGGTTCTCCTATTACCAAAGCGGATATTTCGAACCTCCCAATTAATGATGGTAGCGTTGATGTGGCTATCTTCTGTCTCAGTCTGATGGGTACCAACTGGGTATCATTCGTGGAAGAAGCATGGCGTGTACTTCGTAGTGATGGCAAGGGAGAATGCTGGGTGAGCGAGGTTAAGAGCCGTTTCGGCAAAGTGATGCGCAAGAAAGCACAGATTGGAGCTCGGAAACCCCTCAGCAAGTCGGAGAAGAAAAAGCTCAAGAAGCGCGAAGGAGCAGACGATGCTGATTCTGACGCCGAGGACGCCGAGGTCTACGCTGAAGATGCCCGTCCTACCGATAACGACGAGACAGATATATCTTCATTCGTTGAAGTGTTTCGCACGAGAGGCTTCGTCCTCAAGCCTGAGTCGGTGGACAAGTCCAACAAGATGTTTGTGAAGATGGTGTTTGTCAAACAAGGCCCTGCGCCCTCGAAGGGCAAGCATGCATCCGTGACCGGTACAAAAGCTGGACCAGGCAAGAAGAGGTTCATTGAAAAACCAGCTGATGCCGGTAACAATATGTCCCCTGAGGATGAGGCTGCCGTTCTTAAGCCCTGTGTCTATAAAATTAGGTAGAGGAAGACTCTAGATGTGCAGCGACCTGTATATAAAAATCACACCTTTGTTGTATTTGATATCAGTGAGGTCCTATCAGGTCGGAACAAGACTTGAGGGATAAATCATTAGACAGATCTTTTCTATTCGACTTCCAGAACAAATACCAGCCCATGTATAACATGTATTCTCAATATAACGCATAGGCTCATCACAATCATTGTGCATTATTTCACTTATTGATTACCACCCAAGGTCGCAACAGCCCGTCCCATCTCCTCATCATTGTAGATACGGAAGCCCTTCTCCTTGGTCACACTGGCAAGCTGAACGTTCTTTGCGTCTAGCTTCTCCTCCATGACCTGCTTCAGTGTCTTGAGGACCAGTGTCTCCGCTTCTTCTAGAGTGAGGGAGCGGTGATATTCGTTCTGCAATTCCGCTTGCGCACCCTCGCTTCCGGACCCAATGGCCTTCGCGTCGTATCGGTAGAATGTACCGGATGGCTCGGCATGATATCTAGCTACATTAGCACATGTTTGCTGAGAAGGCCGATTGGCATCAAGGGAAACCTACAGTTGAGGGCCATCCTCATCGAAACCCGCGATCAACAAAGCAACACCAAAAGGCCTACTCATCACGCTTTCTTCGTCATCCCCGGTCTCTCCGAATCTCAGGGCCAAATCGCAAATGGCCTGGGTGCAGCTCTCAACTCGCAGTGGTTCGGCATAGTGGAAGGCATGGTTTTGGCACTCAACGCGGGCATGCTCGACGAGGTTCCGGGCATCTGCCTGCAGACCGGACATAGCACAGCCAATGTGCTGATCAATCTCGACAATCTTTTCGACGGAAGAGGCTTCAAGAAGAGTGGATGTGACACGCTTCTCAACGCCCAGGATGACGCCCTCGTTGGTTGCGACCTGATATGATGTCAGAACGGTGTGTTGGGTTCCGGTTGTGTAATGTAGCGCCGCCAGATGGTTTATGTGGCAAGCCTAGGGTTTTCTGGCTGGGGTATTTGGAAGATGTGGGAAACATACACCGATCGCCGTCGAACCTAGTTTGATAGCTTCAAGAGAGTATTCGACCTGGAATAAACGTCCTTCGGGGGAGAAGGTGCTGTAATAATTCCATCGTTAGAGCCCAAGAATTCGTCTTCGTCTAGGTGAGTAACATAGGATGATCTCATACTTAATTCCACGGTCTGGAGAGAAAGCTGTTAGATAGCCCGCATTGGAGGGGAGATGCCTGACGGAGCTTACCATATTCCGATCGCGCGATGAACATATTGGACTATTTTGGCAGTACAATGACACTTGCAGTTGATATAGACGCACTAATGAAGTACTCTGGGGAGAAGACAGGGAAGTAGCTTTGTAAGGGAAGGGAGGAAGATGGTGTTGGGAGCTGTTCTTGGAAGCTCGGGCGAAGCTCCAGGTCTACGCAAGTCCGCTGAGTGCCTGGCGGAGTCCGTGCTCGCCTCAGGCCAGCATCAGGCATCATTGCACTAGTCTCCATTTGCTTACTGTAACTGCGGAACGTGACAGAGCAACAATATACTTCTGCATTCGATTCCTTGTTTCTTTTTTACCCATTTCATTACTTATCCCTTGCGTTCCCTCTCAGTCTATGCATGGTCGACCCTACTCTGTTTATCTCGCGGGACAATGTCCGTCAATGACCGTCGCGCCAGCTACATGAGCGCACCACGACCCCGCGTTTCCTCGAATCGCGTCGGTGATGCTCGCAGCGGTGCGTCCCCATTGCAATCGGAACAGTTAAATCATCGCGGAAGCACGTCGAGTCAGAAGGGCAAATCCTCTCGAGAGCAACGTGATATGATGAGCGACAAGCGTGCCGAACGAATGGCACCTCATTCGAAAGACAAAGCTCAAGTTCGAGCAAGAAACCCGGCCAAGGAGCCTTCTAGCACAGGAAACAAAGGGGAATGGGAAAGGTCACGCTCAAGGAGGGCTACTCTGACGGATGCTGCTAGTCCCAATATGCGAAAGAAAGATAAGGAGCCAGAGGAGTGTTAGTTTTAACCATTCCATAGCAGGCGCTCATTTATTTAGGATGCTGACCATGATATCATCTCAGCGCCATGGAACCCACATGCCTCGTTGATATCCCATTCAACAGCACCATTAGCCACTCGAGTATCAGTTCCTTCTCTTGCTTCAACCTTGCCCAAATCGCTTCACCCGACATCAATTCGCGAGCTTTCTGCCGACGCACAAGAGACAGCCCTCTTGGAAGACCTACTATTCGTGTTTATGGGCTTTGAAGGCCAGTACATTCATTACCATAGTGGATATGATTCATCTATGGAGAAGGACCGTTTGACTGGTCCGGTATTTCAGCTGCCATCAGGAGTGGACCCAACCTTAAGGGACCTTACTCTGTCGATGTTAAAGATGGCGACTCATTACAGTGCTTTGGAGGCATTTGTGGAGGTCCAAAGCCGTGCAGAATATGGAGCAGTTAGTCATGCGCTATGCGCGGCGATCCGCAAGCTCCTGAAAGACTACTTGATCCTTGTTGCTCAACTTGAAACCCAACTTGTGAACAATCCAAGCTTCACACTACATCTTCTGCATTTACACACCATGCCGACAAGCCAATGCTTGGCCCAATTATACTCACTAGGTCAGGAACTACTTCGACGCAATGGCTTATTGGACCAGGACCTGGACGAATCTATCGACGATTTTGATGACGTGGACAATATTCTCGAACAGCTCAAAGAGGGTGGCGACCTTGTTCCTGGCGCCATGTCCAGCAAGAAGATCTGTAAAGGAGGTAACGTTCTTCGACTGCTGACTGAGCGGTTAGCAACATTTTCAGGCGACCCGACTACGAAGACTCTCCTAGAAAAATTACTTCGTGAAGCTAGTCGACCATATATGACTATGCTCAATGAGTGGCTCCATCATGGAGGTATCAAGGACCCTCACGCGGAATTCCTCGTCAAAGAGCAGAAATGGATCAAACGGGAGAAGCTCGAGGAAGACTACACAGATGAATACTGGGAGAAACGCTATACAATTCGCGAAAATGAGGTTCCCCCACAGCTAGATAGCGTGCGCGACAAAGTTCTACTGGCCGGAAAGTATTTGAATGTAGTACGAGAATGTGGTGGTGTCGATATCAGCAAAGCGGTTAAGGATGTGCCGAAGACTTTGGACGATCCACGTTTCCTGGAGAACGTTAACGCCGCCTACACTTATGCTAATGCCTCTTTATTGAATCTTCTTTTAACGAAGAACTCCCTCACTACTCGCTTCCGCTCCCTCAAGCATTACTTCTTTCTGGACCGTTCCGACTTTTTCTCGTATTTCCTTGAGCTTGGCGCCTCGGAGTTGCGCAAGCCAGCCAAAAGCGTCAACGAAAACAAACTACAGTCGTTACTTGATCTTGTTCTACGTCAGCCGGGTAGCATAGCTGCACAAGATCCTTTCAAGGAAGATGTGAAAGTTCGAATGAACAAGATCGGTCTCACAAAATGGCTGATGCAGGTCGTAAGCGTCTCTGGAATTGACCAGGACAACCCCGAGGCAGCGATTGAGAAATACCAGGCTCCGCAAACACAAGGTGGAGATGAGGAAAAAGATATTGCTGGATTTGATGCGCTCGAGTTGGATTACTCCGTCCCCTTCCCCCTGTCTCTAGTCATTAGTCGCAAGACTGTTTTGCGATATCAACTCATCTTCCGCCACCTCCTATCCCTCCGTCATCTGGAGCACCTCCTAGTTACGGCCTGGCTAGACCAGAACAAGGTTCTTGGCTGGCGCCACAAATCCACAGACCGGAGGCTAGAGATGTGGAAGCGACGGGCGTGGAACTTGCGCGCCAAGATGCTTGTCTTCGTCCAGCAGCTTCTTTACTTCTGTACGGCCGAAGTCATCGAGCCAAACTGGCAAAATCTCATGGATCGTGTGAACGGGACGGATGCGGACGGGTCCGAAGTGACTGTGAACGGCACCAAGCAAGTTAATCGAACTGTCGATGAATTAATGCAGGACCATGTGGATTTCTTGGACACATGCCTCAAAGAATGCATGCTAACGCAAGCTAAATTACTGAAGGTTTGTCATGTTGTTTCAATGCATTTTCCCGCAGTAATACTAATAAAGACTTAGATTCATTCCAAGTTGATGACATGCTGCACCATGTTTGCATCTTGGACTGCCTCGTCGCTGGCACGAGCTTTGGCGACGGCTGACCCAGAGCTTTCGAGGAACAAGGCCTCGAATCCGGACGGAAGGGGTTATGACCCCACGCGGATCAGCAAGCTTGAGGACACGCTAAAACGATATGAAGATCATTTCAATCGACATTTACGCATCTTGATGGACAGGTAAGTTCGCCTAAAACTTCTCCGGGGCTGTGTCCAATGCTGATTTGTCCATTGTCTAGTCTGAATTACTTCGCTGCTACTGAAAGTGTTGTCCTCCTGAAACTTGCGCATGCCCTAAGCTCGATTAGCAAGGATGACTGAGACAATTCCACACACGCTTGGCTATTGAAGCCGATCTAATGATACAACTGGATTCCTGGGGAATGGTCAGGCACCAGACCGGTGAATCAATACGCTCGTTCCGTTGGCACAAAGGTTATGATAGTCTCGACCGGCCTATTGTATAAGCCTCTTATTAATAGCCCAACTTTAATCAACCAGTGCTAAGCCCATGGAAAGGGTCTCTAAAAGATACAATGGGCATATTCGACACAAAACCGCTAGCTGATTAGGTCGAAATCGACCCGGTATTTCAAGGAAATGGCGTATTGGTATCTTGGGGACTAAATGGTTCTTTTTGTCTTTTTTCAAGCATGGAAGGAGAATCGGAGGCGATACCTTGTTATGGATTCCTAAATACCCCGGTGAGGACACTTGATTTTACATTTATATGCCGTTGGACATAATTAAATGAAGGTAGATTCTACCGGAATCATTGACGGAGTTCGGAGTTGTCGGCATTCGATGCTTTCGACTTGGTCTTATCAATTGCAGCTGGAGAAGAAAGCTGAGAGACATGCGAATAGCCCCATTAAACATCGGCCACGTTACGGAGGCTGTATTGTATTGTATACCTAGTCTATTCCGAACCCCGATCATTGCAGGTATAAAATGTTTTCCACCTCAATTTCATACGCTGTCAACAAGCTGTTGCATCTTGTCCGGCTGTAGTGTCCTCGCCATGATGGCTCCCGAAGATGACACTCGCACTCCAACGTTGATGCTAGAGGTACAAGATGCCCCATGCGAAGAAGAGAACATGGAGTATCCCACCGGCTTCCAATTCCTTGTCGTGCTCCTTGCCATGTGTATGTCGTTGATCCTCACTGGTTTGGTCCGTTTTCTTGCCCCTGAAGGCCACATAGGTCAATGGGAACCGCTTCATGCTAACAGAGACTTTTAGGATTTCAATATGATCGCAACAGCGTTACCAACTATTACCACGCATTTTGGAACCATTGCAGACGTTGGTTGGTATTACTCGGCATAGTCAGTATCTCCCATTTTCCCGGAATCAGTCTGATGCCCTAACAGAGTACAGTCGCTTGACCTCCTGCTCGTTTCAATTCATGTTTGGCAAGCTGTACCATCTATTCTTAGTCAAACACGTGTTCCTTGTCTCAATCGTCATTTTCGAGATAGGGTCGTTGATTGCCGGTGTAGCACCCACTTCCGCCGCGCTGGTTCTGGGGCGTGCGATATCTGGTATGGGCTGCGCAGGTATCATCTCTGGAGTCTTCACGTCCGTTTGTACTACCTTTATGCCGGTAAAATATCCGTCCCAGCTAACACGCGGAGCTATAGCATGGTAGTGCAGAGCTTTCCGCTTCGTCATCGTCCATTTTTCACTGGCATCGCGGCTGGGGTTGAGGGTGCGTCGGCGACTGTAGCCCCACTACTTGGGGGGGCATTGACCGATTCTATTTCATGGAGATGGTGTTTCTATATCAACCTGCCCATTGGGGGCTTGTCCTTCCTATTGATCTTATTTTTCTTCCAAGACCCTCAGAAGAACGCCCGTGTAAACCTTCCATGGGGAGAAAAGCTTCGCCAACTTGATCTCCTCGGAACGAGCATCTTTGTGCCCTCTATCACGTCTTTGTTGCTAGCCCTACAATGGGGTGGCTCCAAGTACGGATGGGGAAACGCACGGATCATTGTTCTCTTCATATTGATGGCTGTTCTTCTGGGTGCATTCATGTGGCAGGAAAGGAGAAGAGGTGACAACGCCCTGCTTCCGGGGCGAATCATAAGGCGTCGCAGCTTGCTCGCGGGGATGTGGTTTTCCTTTTGCAACAATTCCACACTCTCCGTTTTCGAGTATTATGTACGGCCAAATTCAACTCCCTTACACCCGGTTACATTGGTTGATATTTCCTCACTCTCAGATACCAACCTATTTCCAAGTCGTTCGTGGTGTATCCGCCACGGTATCCGGTGTGCTGAGCCTTCCCATTGCGATCGGTGTGCCTGTTGCTGTCATGTGTGGAAGCTCCGCCACCAGTCTTCTGGGATACTATACCCCGTTCATGATTGTTACCGGGATATTGACACCCATTGCGGCGGGTTTGCTAACAACACTGTCAGTGAAGCAGTCCCTGGCCTCTCTTCTCTGCTACCAGGCGCTCCTAGGCGTAGGTGCCGGTGTGGGCTTTCAAGGCCCTCAGGTCGCAGCCCAGACTATTTTACCAGTCAATGATTCCCCGATGGGCATTGCTGTGGTCATCTTTGCTCAGAACTTCGGACCGGCTCTCTTCGTCTCTATCGCGCAGACTATATTCACGGGACAGCTGCTCACGCGTTTGGGGCCGTTGTTGCCCAACCTAGACACGTACTCGTTGTCATCCTTGGGAATGTCCGATTTGGAGAAGTATATCCCTTCCGCTGATATTCCCCATGTGATTGAGGGCTACGATAAGGCGTTAACGACGGCTTTCTTCCTCCCTGTCGGCTTATCTTGTGCCAGTATGATTGGAGCGCTGGGGATGGAGTGGAGGAGCGTGAAGCGAAAAGATGCTTGAATGTTTCTGCTTATCGAGGATTAGCAAGTAGGGGCCTATTTCGTCTGACCAGGGAAGTCGTAGCATGCCCATGCGCTTCGCGCCCAAGATGATAGAATATGCCGTCTAGTTTTGCACATAACTCCTATATGGCCGGCGCAACAATGAGGACTACTATCTCTGGTTGGTAGATAGTACATACATCCTATTGACAAGCCTTCCCCGTACACCACGCATAGCATACAGACCCTGAATAGCAACACCATCACTTGATTCTAAAAACCCGTAGATCGGTCTCTCAGTCCTCGAGCCCTCCAACCCAACATTGTACAGTAAACCCAGATTCAGCCCCCAACACCACGCAACCCTTGCCCATCTACCAGCTGGGGGCCAAACCAAGAACGCAGACATCTACCTACAATGCCAACCTATACCTTACCAGTTCCTAAGCAGACCAAACAGGCGAACCTTACGATAGCCTGGGTTCCTACTGCATAAGACCTATCCAATACAACCACCTAAAAATATCAACACCCAAATACCCCAAACCCCCGAACCACAATAACCCAACATGATTGGTCCGCTCGTACATTCACAACCCAAATCCATGGTGCAAATGCCACCAATCACGAACCCGATCGGAATCCCCCGGTAGATCATTGTCACGGGTCTCGTCGATTCTTCTACTATATAAATAATATAAATCAAGCCCTCTACCTAGAATCCTACTTACTATCAATAGAAGGGGGGAAACAAAAAACAAAACTATACCATATCATCCAACATGACGTCTCTACTCGAGAAAACCTCGACTTTCATCTCCTCGTATATCTCTCGGTTCCGCTTCCTGATACAATCAGGCCATAATACCCGGGTTGTTATTTCTGCGCTATCGGCTGCGGCGGTGGCATTGACCCTTCCTCGTATCTATCGTGATTATCGGACTTTTCTCTCCTATGGGCCCGGGGGAGTGCCGTATAACTTTATTGGGTGGTTTGCGGCTAGTGTGATTCTTCCACCGTGGGGGAGGGAGATGTTCTCGACCGGGGTGTATGAGGCGAAGATTACGGCGGGGGAGACGACAAGCTATCTAGGTGATGAATGGAACAACATGCGCAAGAGAGACCATCGACCTCAGGTTGGACCGCATATTGTACCGCAGAGACAGATTACGGAGTTTCCTTCGGAGGAGATTAAGGAGGTATGTATTCTGCTTGCGCATAGATGTGTTTGCTTTGATTTATTTATTTTGATTTAATGTGATTTTTGTGTCTATCACAAATATGCAAAAGTGTAATGTATATACAAGACTATGATCTGTACTTACCGGGGATGAAGAAACTGAATCGGGATTTCTACGCCTTCGCCAATCGCAACCAACACCTCGTCGCACTTGCCCCGTCGAAGCTCGAACTTCACGCCGATGCCCTCTTTCTCGCCGAGGGTCTTGTCCCGACTCCCGCTGCTCAGCAGATGAGGGGCGAGCTTGCGCATATCCATCGGTTGAAGGACTTCTCGCTGCATGTGACTTTGGCTCCTGCTGACTGTATGATTCCTCAAACCATATTTATTCCTCGTTGATACCTGTGACACAGACAAAGAAGAGTATATATGTTTTTTTTTCTAGACATGAGACTGACCCAGGAATGATTAACAGGCAAGAAAGTGATTGAAGCTGGTTGGGGGCAACGGCATAGATTATCTGGGGTTCAGGTTCCGAAGGCACTTTTTGGAGGAAAAGTCATCTCGCTTCCGTCGGAATATGTTTTGATTTATGCCCCACGCACTGAGCAAGAGGCTGCGTTTGTGGTGGAGATCATTGGTGCTAGTGTCAAGTATATGACTGGATCCTTGGAGGTTAGGTAGATGTTGGTACGATGGTATAGGCTACTGGGGTACGAAGGTGTAGATGTGTACTGTATGACGTTATATGAATCAAATGCAATACTCTTCCCTCTGGATGTCTGTTAGTTGATTTGCCACCAATTAACTCTAGATACTAATTGTTTTTGCCATTCTGACGTAGATCTGTACGCACAGATAGATCTAGAGATTATGTGGAGGGACTGCGACAGATGGTCAAAGCACCGGGAAAGAAAAGGAGAAAAAAAAGAAAGAAAGAGAGAGAGAGAGAGACGGCAGGGAAATACAGTGGGAAAAAAAAGGATAATTAATTAAAATGACGGCAGGCGTGCAACGTAATGATAAAGCGATTGGAACTCCATCGAGCGTGCGACGTAGTGTAGTACGATGTGGGTGGATTTTTAGTACGCCCACACTAGCGGGCCTAACCGCTGTAGTCTCCGGCGCTGCGCACTGCTTTCCCGAAGCTGAACCGTGGTTCTGGGATCGCTGCCAATATGCCTTGTCGACCCTGGGCTTAAATCCTGTCGTCGAAAGACCCGACAGCCTGGGCGCTCATCTGGCGTTGGGCCTGCATGGATTCCCGGTCTGCATGCTTAGCGATGGTCATGGGTGTACGACCGCAAATCAGAATCAATGGTCATGGCCAACCCAACATCCTCGTGAAAATCCACTAGAACGGTCGAAGGAAGAGCAACGCTCGACCGAGGCGATGCTGATTTGCTCGCCGGACTCCCATCTCGCCTCTCTCCCCGTTAGTGGGATTTTCCCTGAAAGCAACCATTGAACTCAATCCCAAGAGCGGGAATTGGCACCATAGAGCTATGGGAATACCGTAAAGGAGTCTATAGGCCTCGTATTCCTTGTCAGGTCAATCATAATCAGTGTATTCCCATACTCCACAGTTGTTCAGGCCTCCGACGCCCCGACCCATCGCTTGCATATCTTGTCTCTTAAGAGAGTCCTCCGTGCGACCTAAAGATCGTTGGCCCACCCGCCAAGCGCCGTCGCTTGTCAGATATGCTCTGCTATTCTCAATCGGGACCGTGACCCATCGTGTGGGTGCCTTAGTGTCATTTGTTTCAAGTTCTAGCACGACGGGCGACGCACAAAAGGAGCGGTGAGAAAGAGGCGCAGGCTGTGATTGAGGGGGAAAGGGAAGATTTCAAAAATCCAAAGAGAATATAGTTCATAGAATTGGGCTAGATTGTCAGCCAAACCCGATATGTTGCCCATCTCACAAGCCACTCCTCCAGGATTCCCCCCACTTTATTCAAATATCGATGCCGTCATTTTTCAAATTACTTACCCTTAAATGGCTCGGATATTGGGATAGCCAGGCTTACAATGGGTGGCTGTTCGGGCACGGCCATCGACCATCCCTACGGCCAGCATTGAACGCAGTCTGACGGCGCGAACCACCGTGCTTTACCTTCAACTAAAACCTTAGTGTATCCGCAATCGCTGATTGCATCTGCAGGGTGGCCATCAGATATTTATTTCGCTGTCAGTGATTCACTGTCGTAGAAGCCCAGTTTCCCTTCCTGCGATTAATTCTGCTGGCGTGAGTATCCCAGTGACATTACATCATGGCGTGCCACCCCCACCATGCAGGTCTGTCCTTCAATCCATAATTCTTTTTGGGAAAAAAAAAATTTTTTCTCGCAGATCTAGTGTTGTGTGGCCATGCAGAGGCTAGGGCTGTGGATGTGAGACCGAGTTACTGATGCTGCCTGGCCTGCAGAGGCATGTAAAATTAGTGATTGGAGCCAACACGTGAGCCCAGTACTAACAGCGAAAATGCCAAAAAGTCTCGGTCCGCACTAAGAACAGGGATCTCAAGACGATCCTTAAGCGTTCCTACCAAACAAGGGGGTTGAAGAGAAACCGGAACCCCGTGCGACAATGTCTAACCCCCTCTCTAATAGACTGATAGGGCGGGTGAAGGGTGAAGCCCCGAGGGTTAGTGAATTAGCCCTCCTAGGCGTCGAAACCCGTCGGCATCGGTGGCCCCTCCGGAAGCACCGCCGACCCCTCCCTTCGCTGCAAATTGGTGGGATGTAATCCTGGGCAAATACCCCTGAGGTAGTCGTATTTCTTTTTAAGACAAGGGCAGACGATGTTTAACCTGCTGTCATGGAGGGAAATGTAGTGGTTCGAAAGGGTGGCCTGCCATTGACTGAATTTTGCCTCATTGAAGGGGGGTTTAAGGACCATGATTTGCTGGGTTCTTGCAAAGGGCAAGACAGACGTCTGGGACTGGCCTGGACGGATTTTCCTTTACCGGCCGTACATTTTAGTACGAAGACTCAGTCCCGCATAGTACAGACTGCTTCACCAATAGCCCATGGAGTGCAATATAGTCATTTTTGGTTCGTGTCCAGCGGTACTTTTCTTGTCGAATATTCTTCGTGCCCCGTCGATCGCTTCAACAAAGAGATCCCTTAACCACAACATAACCTGCCACCCACTCCCCACGATAGAGGCGCCCTGAGAGATGGGATTTCCTTGCTGCCCTTGATTCAATTCGTACCTCGTTAAACCCCAGCCCCCTCGTGAGCATTCCAGAGAAGGGCCAACAATGACGTACCTAAACCCGCCGCTAGATCGTGGACAGACCATGAGCACTGACTTTCTGGGTCGTTAAGGAGCCCTGACTCGGAAACGGAAGCCTTGGACGCCGTGTACCTCGAGACCGTAACCATCCAAGGTCGCGTGTTCCAAAAGTTCTCGGTCGACCACCAGATATTTTTTGAGCCGGTGGACGGAGTAAGATCAAAACGAAAAGTCTGGGATCCGGGACAAAGCTGACCGCAGATCCACCGCCAGGAAGAGGCAGAACGACTCGAGCGCCAGCACCAGGTTTTCAACAAGGTTTTCGACAACAGGCTAATATTCCCGCCGATCCCGCAGCCTCAAAAGATCCTCGACTGTGGCTATGGCACTGGGTCGTGGGCTATTGAGACGGCGGAGCAGCACCCCAGATGCAAGGTACGTAGTCCAGGTGGACTCTTCTTCTCAGGTATCAACCGGCTAATTGCCTCGACTGAAGGTAATCGGCCTCGATATATACCCCTATATGAACCCAGACGATATACCGGAGAATTTATGCCTACAAGTGAGTTGATCATCTCTCGACTGGGGGAACCTCGCTGTGCGCGAGTCGCTATAACTGTGCCCCTTTTCCACATTCTCGCTGCTCGACGAAATGTTCCCTGCAACCCCGCCTCGCCGATTCTAGCGGAGATAAGTCCTGAATGGGAGCTTGTGAATTCTGAGAAATGTGTCACTAACGTATCTATGTCGCCATATAGGTCGATGATCTGAACCGTCCATTCACATTTCCCCCGAACCACTTCGACCTTGTCCATTCAAGGCTGCTCGCAACCGGCATCAACCGAGACCGCTGGCCCTCCTATATCAGAGACATTAAAAGGTCTGATTCCTGAATACCGGCTCTCTGATCCAACATAGGGTATCGCCGACGCCTTAGACTAACTTTTTGTTGTCACAGAGTTTTAAAGCCAGGGGGCTGGGTGCAACTAGTCGAGATATACTTCAATGTCCAGTCAGATAACGGCTCAATCACCGAACAGCACGCATTGAGGGAATGGAGCACGCAATTAATGGGCTCTTTGGAGGATATGAAGGACCTTCGCGTGGGGACAAGGCTGAGAAGTCTTCTGACAGCAGCAGGCCTGACGGAGGTCGATGCTCGAATGATCCCGCTGCCTCTATCCGCATGGTCCAATGGTAAAGTGCACACATGCCATCTGGGCGAAAAGTTTCTTTTAACACTGGATAGACCCCAGGATGCGAGATATAGGCGCTAAAAACCGTGAGAATGTTAAAAAACTGCTTCCCGCGTTGGGGCTTTATCCATTTACCCAACGACTGCGGATGCCCCCACAGCAGTTTGCGGAGCTGATAGCGCGAGCACAGCAGGAAGCCGATACCCACAATTTGAAGGCCTACTTTCCCCTGTAAGTCCGCTCTTCAAGCAATCCGTGACGGTGTTCTAACAACACCAGGTACGTTTGCATTGGAAGAAAGCCCCAGTAAATATTGCCGAAGGGATGGGTGTGATATTCAATCCGCAATCCTCTTCCCACGGTTCGTAGAGAGCTGTTGTATCTCTATCGAAGACATTTCTGGCTTGACTGCCCAAGGGAGCCATGATGTTCCATCATCAGATTAGATATTTTGACATTGGACAGATAGAGCTTGAAAGCAGCTAAATATTGGTCAGTTTCCACCGGAATTGTGTCTCAGTATCTCCTTTCATCTCTAGGAGCCATGCCCCTGGCGGTCCTAAGTACTATCACCACCCCACATGGCTAAACCGTCCACAAGCGACAGTGTAGTTATTAAAACTAGCAGGTAACTCCATGCACCAAACGTCCGACGGAAGGCTGCCTCTCGCATATAACGGCACTCTACAGGGAATAAAGATAGCAGCGGGCTCGAATTCGGGGACGGGTCACTCTGAAATGGGCATGAAACCGGGGCCTTGCTGACATGCAGTACGAGGATTGGGCCGTCAAGAGGCCTGTTTAAAGAGACTAGGCAGTGTCCTGGGCGTATGCCGGATATGCAGCTTCGTTTTAGCCCAGGAAAGATGGCTGTGTTGATGGAAGGAACCCTTCTTTCCTCAGTGAGCGGTCATCTTCGTTTCCAGGAAGCAACGGGACCGTCGTCGTCGTCTTGATCTCTTATCGTCCGGAAGGCGCCTCTAAGGATCTGCGACTTTCTATAATGAAAAGTGAGTGCTAGAGGGATTGGGGACTGTTGAGCCAAAAGCCAGAAAGTCAACTCAAGCGAGTGGGAAGAGGGAATCAAAGAAAGCCCGTGCACCTAGAATCGTCATCTCAAGGGCTAGCGGGCATACCGCGAATATGACGGCTTGTGGGAGAGATCTGGTTGTCTGATCCAACCAACGTTCGGTGGAAACTCCGGCGGAGTGGACCATCAATTCGAACCTGAAGTGATTGCCACCGAGGAAGGGGGAGAGAGAGAGAGAGAGGGAGAGAGAGAAAAGGAAGACGGTGTAGGGGACAAGAAGGACTGGGAAACGGGCCCCGTCTCGGGTAGGGTACCAAACTGACGGGTCGTCTCTGAACCTTAAGCAGCAACAAAAAAATTACTTGCCAACATCGTCCCTGGTGGAAGCTACCTCTCCTCGCTCCTCCTCCGTAATCATGTCTATACAATGTCGAATTACTTCTGCCTCGATTGCCAGTGAAATACTATAGCGAGGATTGGCATGGATCCATCCAGAACCCTCTAGCGGATTAGGATTAGGATTGGCGTTGCCAATCTCTGCCTTCCAGATTTGACGTTACGACTATCAATAGTGGCCACCTCTTGAAACTCTAATTAAACCATGAAGAGGCGAGTTGTCAACCCACTGGATCAGAGAGAACAATTAAAGGCGATGCCACAGGCAAACTGTCATATTCCAAACGGTCCTTTCTGGACTCTGGTTGGTGCTTTCGTCCTGAAGGGAAAGTTTCCTACCCTACGATAGACTGTGTGGGGCAAAGGGAGCTGCGGGCCTCTGTAATTTCCCAGTAAACCTTGCATTTCATTCTCTCCGAGATTAAATGGCAAAAGACCATTGCTGTGGTGTAATCAAGCACCAGAACTCAACAGTGGCTTCAATTTGTGCCTAGAAAACACTGGGTTATCTTGCTCTTCTAAGGGCCAAATGGATGTTTCTTGCCCCCATGTCCCAGTTTCCCACCAAGGAGACCCAACGCCACGGACATGGAATGCTAAAAAGGGGCTTAGTTGGAGCTGCCATTTCTCCCATCTGCAATTGATCTATCGAATTCAACTATGACTCGTAATGTAGCTGAGTCAACCACGTCTGTTCTCGGAGGGACACTCAACACTGCCATGTGGCAATCTGGAGCTTCGTTTCTTCTGCGTGATTTAACTTAAATCACAGATTGTGGAATGGGACCCGCCGATAAACCGAGGGTTGACCAACCAGACGCCCAATTGCTGAAGGAGCAGCTTTGAGGCTCATCCGCGTAGACGCCCGAACCATTCAATCGGGCGTTTGTGCGTCTACGGCGCATATTTACCTGTCTGGGTTCCGTCCTAAGCGCCCCGTGCGCTAAATGCCCAACGTGGTAAGTCTCCGCGCGGATCAGAAAAAAGTTGGCCGCCAAGTCACTTCCGTCGAAGAAGAATCCTGTACCACCTGCCAAAAAGGCTGCGCAACCGAATCGCCCAAAATGCCGTCCACATACAAGAAGGATAAGCCGTGGGATACGGATGACATCGATAAGTGGAAGGTTTGTTCTTCTTGTATCTCCCCAGGTGATATGCGCTCGTCTCCTAACCTGCCATCTGCGACTAGATCGAGCCCTTCAAAGCCGACGATAATGTCGCCGGTAGTTTCGCCGAGGAATCCTCTTTTGCTACGCTCTTCCCCAAATATCGTGAAGTTTACCTGAAGGAAGCATGGCCCGTCGTGACCAGGACCCTCGAAAAGCAGGGAATCGCTTGTACTCTGGATTTGGTGGAGGGTAGCATGACTGTGAAGACCACCCGGAAGACTTTTGACCCCGCCGCAATTCTCAAGGCCCGTGATCTCATCAAGCTGCTTGCCAGAAGTGTGCCTGTGCAACAGGTAGGTTGATCGTCTACTGTTTCGCAATGCTGTCGGGACCCATCCGCTAATCGTTTCGATTAATGATAGGCCCTGAAGATCCTCGAGGATGGCGTCGCATGCGATATCATCAAAATCCGAAGCCAAGTCCGCAATAAAGAACGGTTCGTAAAGCGTCGCCAGCGTATCCTAGGACCAAACGGTTCGACTCTCAAAGCTCTCGAGCTCTTAACCGAGACATATATCCTGGTGCAAGGAAACACCGTCTCCGCAATGGGTCCTTATAAGGGTCTGAAAGAAGTGCGCAGGGTGATAAACGACTGCATGGCCAACATCCACCCCATCTACCACATTAAGGAGCTCATGATCAAGCGTGAATTGGCCAAGGACCCCACGTTGGCCCAAGAATCCTGGGACCGATTCCTGCCAAACTTCAAGAAGCGCACCCTCTCGAAGCGTCGCATGCCGTTCAAGGTCACCGACAAGTCCAAGAAGGTGTATACTCCTTTCCCACCGGCCCCGGAGAAGAGCAAGGTGGACTTGCAGATCGAGTCGGGCGAGTACTTCTTGTCCAAGGAGGCCAAGGACCGTGCACAGAAGGAAGAACTTATGGAGAAGCAACGCCTGAAGCGCGAGGAAAAGATGCAGGAGCGGGCCAAGGCCTTCGTGCCACCCGAGGAGCTGGAGAGTGCCAAAAAGGAAAAGAAGGAGAAGAAAGAGAAGAAGAAGAAGCGGAAGCGCGACTCGGAAGCAGAGGCAGACGCCGAGGGTTCCGAGAAGAAGGAGAAGAAGAAGAAGAAGAAGAGCAAGTCGAAGGAGAGTGCCTCGTCGGATGGAGACTCTTAAACTTGTTATTGATATTTATGTTCTCCTTATGCTACTCTTTTTTCTTTTATGTTCTCCGTCAGATATTGATCCTTCACATTCACTTTCCCGAGATACGGCGCTTAGGCATAGCATGGGCTGGAGTTTTTTTCACTCTTCCAAAAAGTTCGGACCGAAAAAATATATATATCCTTTTGCTTCTTTCTACTGAGTTTTCTTTCAACATGTACAACTTCATTATAGCCGCGAGAGTAGCTCCAGACACAAAGATACTCTAGTATAATCTCATTACTGAGGTATGTCCTACAAGGAAAACCAACTGTGATTTGACCCAACTTCACCATCGTCAGCGGTACTGAACCATCATGGCTATCTGATATTTAGCTTAGCCATATCAACCCAAAAATATCTCATCACATTCACAGTAAAAACGTCTACAACAAACCAATACAAACACACCTTATAGATCGACCCTTAGACCATAACCAATTCCCAAGAACCACCCCCAATGACACTCAGGAACATCTACCTCCTCAACATCTCCTTCAAAGCAGCCACTTCCGCCTCTCTCCTCGCCAGTTGGAGCCTGAGCTCGTTTCGCTCGTGCTCCGTTTCTCTTAAGGCACACTCTAACTCAGTAATGCGATCGCGCCCCTTCTGGCGGTACCTCCGCGCCGCCATGGTGTTGCGCTGTCGTTTGATGGCTGTTGTGGCTTTCTCGTTGCTAGGGTCCTGTTCGAGAGTGCCAGCTTTGCGCTTAGAACGACCGGCACTGGATACTTCAGGGGATAATAATGTCTCGACTGGATATTCTTGACCGGGTAATGCGTCTGCCGCGTTAGTGTTCGACGGTGGAGTTTCATTATTGATCAAGCCGGGGTTCTGTCGCTGAGATACACTATCCAGGTGGGAGTCTAGGGAGAGGTGGTTATCACCATGATAATCTGGCACCGGTCAGCCATAGTTTCAACCACATCGGCCAAAAAAAACAACCAACAACCAACAACCAACAACAAACAGCAAACAACACACCGTTGAATCCGGTCCCCGTAGATGATACATTTAACGGACTGAACAGCCTCGGGAGGGCAGTATCTTTGATTGGGCCAAACGACGCCGTAAGAAAAGTGGAAACGGGCGGGCTTGACAGATCCGATGGAAGCAGGGGATCAGCTCGGACTTGAGGGGCCACAGGGCGCTGCCCAGACGGGGTCTCCAACATGTCATCGTTCCAGTCAAGTCCTGGAGCTGTGAAGTTGGGTCCCGACTCCCAAGAGGGTTCACCAGGGAGGGACAGGTTCCTTCTGTTGCTGTGGTCGGGCGAGAACCATGGTGTGCGAAATGGCCATGATGGACTTGGGTGGTTGTTGTTGTGCGGCCACGAGCTCAAGGTTTAGGGCCTCTCTCCTCTACAGGGAGGGAGAGGCTGATGCTTGGGGCTCGGTTTGGACGGTGCGTGGAAGTGGCTGGGTTTAGCAGCTCATCTGTCATTGGTGTGAGGAATAAAACTGGCAGGCTGCGACGCAAACGTGCGTTGTTTTATACATACTTGTGGGTACACATACCACTGGGTGACCCTCGTGCTCTAGGGCCCTTGTGGGCCACTTCGCCCGTTATTGGAGGGTGTCACTTGGCGTCTAATAGGAGCCTACTGGTACTAGTACTGCGGACAACTATGTGCTAGCTAGGAGGGTATGCTTTACGACCACTGTTGTGTCTGGATGTGCCGTTTTGGTTTTGTCTGAGTTGGTGAGCTGGATGTATGACTATGCGGTTTAATCGATATTTATTGCTGACCGATCGCTACTATGTATGTATGTACTTGCTACGACTCAGAATTAAAAGACGGACATGCGAATGATGATATAAGGAGTTGCTGTGCATAAGGAGAGCCAATCCGGGATTGACCACTCTGTTCAACGCTCAGACGGAATGATCCACGGAGTGAACTGTAGGTTAGACATTAGCAAAGAACAATAATTTCAAATAAAACATTAAGGATTAAATAATACGAAAGTCATTGCAAGCTTCGTCCGAAAGCCTCAACCAATGTATGTCGGATATAGATCCCCACCGACTCGATCTCTCGGGGAAAAGTCATAATGAGTCATTCTGATTCATACGGCGCTTACCCGAAGTATGGACGGAGAAATAGGGGTAAAAGTCACTCTGTAGAAATATTTGCCTATAGTTTTCCAATTGTAGAGGGGCTCGTGTTCTAATAAAATGAAGGAGTAAAAGCTTACAGGAAGCCCTACTCCATTCAAGGTACACAGCCTCAAACTAGAGTATACACCATGCTAACTGTGAATAACGGACGATATTGTACATTGATTCAGAGGACATCTCGTATAAGCAATATGAATATATGCTGTGTACATACTTCAAGCCTCACAATCTCCCCCGCCACAGCGAATCCTCGGAATACATAACTCACGTATCCCCTTCCGACCCATCGCTATCTTTACCCTGCAGAAACACCTCCTGCTCTCGTCGACTCTTCTTCAGATCCAACCAGATCGCCAAAACAGCAAAACTGGCCACGCTCAGCCCAAACAGAAAGTAGAAAGGCATCGAGGCGTTTCCAGACGGCGTTGCATCGATAATAGCACTCGAGACAAGAGGCCCAATGAACGACGAGGTCTTGCCAACGATACTGAATAAACTGAAGAAAAGGAAGTCGTGGCCTCGGGGCGCGACTTCGGAGATCATGATTTGTGAGTAACTATACCACGGGCAAACGAACAGGCCGTAATAAACTTGGTAGAGCTATTGATCGCACAGTTAGTGGTTGACGATACTCTCAAAATAGAGAATACGGTTCTGACGTACCCAGAATTCCCAACCGTGATGGAAACCAAATTTCTGTGTCCAGATGCCTATCATACCCCAGCCATCGAGTAAGATAATTGCGACGGCAATGGTGTTGAACATAGTTTTGGTGCCGAGTTTAAAGCGTTGCTGGATGAACCAGAAACCGTAGATCCCTACTGCCTGTTGTTGATGGGTTAAAAATGCACAAGAAGAGATAGGACAAATGCACGAACCTGAGCTGCGATTCCAGCAATCAGAAGGTATGTCAATTCTAGAGTGTTGTAAGAGACCACACTGTTCTGCAAGGTAGATATTACAGTCACGGTTGTGTTTAACGAGTCGCCCAAGAGGAAATATCCTGTATCTCCCGTTAGCAAGTCCATAGACAACCCGAAGCATTGGGAATAGACCAAGATGGAATCTTACCAACAAGATAAAGCAAGCTCTGCTTCAATCTCCACACCTGCTTCGCAGCATAATAAAGCTGCCACAGGCCCGCAACGAAGATGTTTTTCCCCTTCGGGTCCTGTCCTGGCCGACGCTTCTCAAGAAAGAACCAAGGCAACGAAACTAGCAGCCACACACCGCTCGCAAAGGCAATCAGAACACTCAAGCCCCAATTGTTATTTTCCTCACTTGCATTGACATGCACTCCGAACATGATACCCACGATGATGGCAAGGATGACCACCTCCGCACAGGACTGGACATAAAAAGCGATGTTCGCCAACCTACTCCGCTCTATCGTGTCGGCGTGGTCGTATTCATCGCGCGATATAGTTCCCGCGGTGTATGCGTCGGCTTTTGCTTTCATTTCGGGCGTATTGCGCGCCAAACCCGGGAATGCCGCCGTCCAGAAGGTCAGCGTCGTTTGATAGGCGATCAAGCCGACGATGTACAGTCCTACGCCGATATGCCATTTGTCTGCCGTATGAACGCCGAGCCAGCCGAACCCGATTGCATATGCGACTATGGAAAGGGTGATCAGGATATTGGGCCGCCATGTACCGAAGTCGGCGAAACTGCCGATGACTAGGAAGATGACCACTTGGATAGCGAACGAAATTCCGTTGCTGAGAAGTACAATGCTATTGATGGAGCGTTGTCGTCCAGCGAAATAGAGGGTTCCGCTATCGCCTGCGGCTTGGCTGAGTAGGTTCTGGAAGGCAGTTGGGCCGAAGTCTGTAGATGGTCAATTGTTAAATTGAGTCTGCTTTATATTTGACCCGAATGGATAAGAGGGGTGAGGGGTGGCCTACTGAATAGAGATAATCCATTGTTTCCAATGTAATAACTGATGTGATGTTTCTCGTTTAGTAATATTTTCTTTTCCACGATATGTCAATCAACGCACGCATAGTATGCCCATATTTCCCATTTGGTGGTACAGTATCGCGCATCAAACTGGTCAGGTGCCGCTGGCTGTTCCAGATCCTTATCCGCGGCGGATTCTTGAAAAACCTGCTCTGGGGCTTTCCCACCGTCTATGCGAGACTGTTGGGTGTAAGATTCCTGTGGAGGTGCACTGGATTCTGCCATGGTGCAGCTGCGATGAGCGTTGAAATTTTGCTTAGCATATTTTTTTTTAAAAACAGACTAGGGCAACCTTTATATACTAAATGCAAAGAGATTTTAACCCCGCGCCTTACGATTCGATCGATTATGATACAAGATATACGAGCATATACGACTAAGAGGTATCGAACGAATAGCAGGTAGAGCAGGGAAAGCCGTGTGCATGCATTGGTTCACCAGTGGCTTAGCTTCATGCCGATCTTTGGGCCCTAGCTCAATTCGGGAGATTAGATCGCAGACGGAAGTTTGATTGCGGCGGCATGCCGTTCTTGTCACAACGAAAGAAATAGAAGAATATAGGAAAGAATAAATATCAGAAGCAGAACCAAATAAATATATATGTTGAGAGTGTCGAGTCATACGACCGACTAATCTTGGGGACTGAGGTTATGGGGAGAATGAAACCTTTTGTTTGACACAACTGCCGAACAAAGAATAAATCTTGACTTTCCAAAGGTTATGCTCTAGCGTCTTGGCATTATATGTACACCATCGAGAGGGTCTAATCTTGATACATGTCTCCTCATCACAGCTTCGCCTGTCCACTTTCGATCGAAGACCAGCTTCGTTCATCAAGCTTCTCGTATATCTTCCCATTCAGCCAATACAACTTATCGCCCTTCCAGTCCCCTCGTGGATCCCATCCCTTCTTGGCCAGGTCGCCCTTAGCTTGCTTGAAAGTGACGCCAGTAGCAACCCTATGAGAAAATAAAGGCATATTAGCGCATACCCTATCACCAGTAAAATAGGTAGCTTGAATCTTACTTCTCAGTGAGTCGGACAAGCCGCGGCAGGGCGTACGATGGCACACCTTTCTTCTTCAGCTCGCGGTACAAGTTGCTCATGAATTCAGACTCCACTGCTGCGGAAGGATCCTCAAGAGTGATTCCTGCAGCTCCGGCCTGTCCATCATACCTAAGAGCAATATATTAGTATATGGCTGGCAATGACGAGTAACACATATCGGACATACCCCGGGAGCTTTACGCCGTAAACAACAGCATCATGAACAGAAGGAATTCGGCAGATGTGATCGCGGACTTCTCCTGCACTGACATTCTCGCCTTTCCAGCGGAAGGTGTCTCCAACGCGGTCTTGGAACTTAATCCAGCCGTCTCCGTCTTGGACCACAAGGTCACCGGTACGTTGAAAAAGATCGCCTTTCTGGAACACGTCCCGAAGAAGCTTCTGTTCGGTAGCATCTTCGTTGTGGAGATATTCTGTGAGTAGCCCACGACTTCTGACTCGCCCAATCGCCTCTCCTTCCTCACCAAGCTTCGATCTAATACAGAAGCCTGTCTTTGGGTCCCGATAAGGCATCTCTGTCTCGGTATCATATTTCACGATAAACACATCGTCTTCGAAGAACCGCCTGATGGGACCCGAAAATCCAATCTTTCCTGCACCCCATGCTCCGACACCATGGTTATCGAATTTGGCCACGCCCTCGGTTGATCGGTAGAACTCGCGGATCTCAGGGACCGCAAACCTTTGACGGAAGCGCTCCCAGATTTCCCCACGGAGTCCGTTACCAGTAGCCACAATGCAAGAATGATTCTGGTCATAGGGCGAAGGAGGCGTTGACAGAAGGTACCTGCACAGCTCGCCAATGTACAAGATACGCGTGGCTCTTGAATCATGGACATCTTTCCAGAACTGCGAAGCTGAGAACTTGCGGCGCAAACATAAGGTGCTCGCGTTCCCAACAGAGTAACACAAACCCGTGAAGAAGGCAGTACCGTGGAAAAGAGGAAGGGGGGAATATGTTCGCAGCGGGAAATACTTCGATTGGTTGTTCACATCAGTCGTGAGTGGATTAGATGTCACGAGCGTCATCATGTTTCGGATTGCACATGCTTTGGGCTTCCCCGTAGTTCCAGAAGTGTAGATCAGAGCGCATAAGTCGCCCGGCGACCTCTTAGCAGGGATCAAGCCAAGGGGGATAAGCTGTTGCAATTGCGCGGCTGTGATAAGTTCTGTGGTTCCCGCAGATTCGCCGTCGAAGGATGATATATTCAGCGCAATATGAGGCAAATCAGAACAGACAAACTGTGAGATATCAGGTGTTGAGATGATAAACTTGGAGCCAGAGACGTTGAGGCAGTGAATGAATGTGTCATCTATGCTCGCCTGGATTAGCTTCCATTTGTGATGCATAGGTATAGTTCTGGGCAGTACCTCTCAGGTTCGTATTTATGAGTGCAGAAACACAGCCCAGCTTCGAAAGTGCATAGATCGTTACGACCATTTCTATGGAATTGGTTGTGAAAACACCAACGAAATCTCCTGGGTTAATGTTTTGTCCATGGAGAACCGTAGCAAATCGATCCACAACTATGCAAATGTTAGTTCTCCTGCAAGCGCTATATCCAAGGATTGTTGATAAGATAATGAGTGTACGTACGGTCCTTCAATTGACTATATGTCCACGTTTTGTTCTCAAACCAGAGTGCTTCCCTCGACCCATGACCATCGACTTCGATAACTCTTTCGAGCATCTTGTAGATCGTTGTTGTGTCACCCAGCTCCGCAATTCGCTGTCCGAGGCGCTTCGTGAAAGCCCGATCATTGGATATCGTTGATATGTCGGTAGAGATGGAAAGTTTGGCATTGAGGTAGGCCGCCGCACCAACCGAGAGAGCTGAAGCCATCGCCATTGTTGGCGCGCTAATCTCTGAGAAGAGGTCCATTAGGTGGTGGGGATCTGATAAAAATGTAAATTGTAGGTATATGTCTGAGATCTCTCGTTGGATTTGTACTGATTGCGTTGGCTAGTTCAAAGCAACCACAAAAGCAGTAAACAAAAAGAAAGAGCTTCGCATTGATCACCGCTCCATGGAAATTATCAAGTCAGTTATGGCGACTAGGGCTAGGGAGCACGAATATAGTGAATAATAGCTGTGTAGCTTGGACCGATCGGAATTTAGAAACGGGACCTGGAATTGCCGGCCATGGCGTAGATCGAATGTCTGGGGTCTGGGGGGCTCCAGACGGCAATCAAGAAAATGCTACCATCCGATAGATCGATTGTATAAGCTAGGGGGCTTCAAGACCGCCATTGGGTAGGGCGGCTCTGTCCCCCGGCCTCCACAGTGGCACAGAATCACAGATAGCATTCACATTTGTTCTCCTTAAAGTATCGTTTTTTTGACACTCAGCTTGTGGGGACTCGGAAGTGACACCCATCCCATACTGTCAACCTTGGAATGGAGCGGGACAAGACGACTGCAGACACAACATATGCCTCAGGCTTCAATCTAATGACACTGTACTCCGTACATACATTATCTGCATCATCCATGGTGTTACTACTACTAGTAGTACATACAAGGTATTGGTGTCCCAAGTACCACTCGATGTAGCAAGACTTTGAATTGCTATATAGAATACAATATTTATCCAGTGATTCCAATTGATTTCCCCATATGACTTCTCCACCAGAGACCTTCTGGAGTTACGGTACTATCAACTTCCCCACAAAGTTTGTAGAAGCCCAATCATAGCCTTCTGTTGATGAATCCGACCGACAGCCGAGGCCACTCAGCTGTACCGTATCTTACGCCTTCGTTACAGCTTAACGGCAAGTCCACTCGGCAGGTCTGGGCAGCTTCCAGCACCGAGCAACGGCATCTATGAGCCTAATCTTCCAACCAACCTTATCCATTGGCTGTGTCCCAACTTTCGGCTCGGTATTTTGATCCATTCTCCCATGGCGCTCTTGTCCCCCAGGCTTAGGAACCGCGGCTGATTATGCTTCTGATTTTCGCCCTAGGTTATTATAATATTACGACGTGTGCATCATTGCGGGGGAGCTACTAGTAGTAACTTCTGTCTTCAAAAAAAAGTATCTTGGAAAAAACACCTCTGGAGGTACTACCGTGATCAATAAGCTTTCAACATGTCTTCGCCTCAACAACGACTGTCTTCTATCGCAAACCAGCTTACGAGCCCTGGTGCTGTGTCCGCAAAGTCAAAGCTCTTGGCGAAGAACCCTGACGATGTGGTATGTCTCTCATGCTTAGAAATACAATACTACTTGTTTAGAGTAGCATCAAAGACTGACTATGTGTTGTATAGGTGATTACACTCGCCCTGCGGACTCCCCTCACAAAAGCTAGGAAGGGTGGCTTGAAGGATACCACTTTAGATGAGCTTCTCATCTCACTACTGACGGTAAAGTGCTTGTTTGTCCATGTCGAGCTCATCCGTGTCTAACATAACAAATAGGATGTGCGCGAGCGGTCGAGACTCGATCCTAACCTTGTCGAAGATGTCTGTGTCGGAAATGTCCTTGCCCCTGGCCAAGCTTACATCGCCCGTTCTGCTGTTCTGGCAGCAGGTTTCCCCGTCACTGCCGCAGCATCGGTTGTCAACCGATTCTGTTCTTCTGGATTGCTGGCGATCCAGAACATTGCCAACCAGATCATTGCTGGTTCAATCGATGTTGGTATCGCAGTTGGAGCAGAGAGCATGAGCACCAACCCCGACAACGGTGCCCCAGAGCTATCCGACAAGATCACATCACACCCAATTGCCTCCCAGAACAAGCAGCCCATGGGGCAGACCTCCGAAAATGTCGCATCTCAATTCGGAATTACTCGCGAAATGCACGACCAGTTCGCTGCCAAGAGCTACCAGAAAGCAGAGCATGCCCAGAAAGCTGGCTGGTTCAATGACGAGATTGTTCCCGTTCATACCAAGGTTAAGGACCCTAAGACTGGAGAGGTAAAGGACATTGTGGTCGATCGTGATGATGGTATTCGTTATGGCACGACTGCCGAATCACTCGGCAAGATCCGCTCAGCTTTCCCCCAGTGGAAGCCCAGTGCTACAACTGGTGGCAATGCTAGCCAAATTACCGACGGCGCCGCAGCGCTTGTCCTCATGAAACGATCTCGCGCACAAGAACTGGGCCAGCCAATTCTGGCCAAGTTCGGCGGGGCCACTGTTGCCGGCTTAGAGCCCCGAATCATGGGAATTGGCCCGTCTATCGCTATTCCTAAGATCCTCTCCAAGGTCGGTTTGACCAAGGATGACATTGATATTTTTGAAATCAACGAGGCATTTGCATCTATGGTAAATAAACACAACCTCTCTGTCTTCCTCGTTTCCCCAATTCGTTGTTAACTTTATCTAGGGCACTTACTGTGTTCAAAAACTTGGTCTTGACGAATCCAAGGTGAACCCTCGGGGTGGTGCAATGTAAGCTAAGCCAGTCTCCTGCAAACAGTTCTAACGTTGATACTAACCGATGCAGTGCATTCGGCCATCCATTGGGATGCACAGGAGCGCGACAGGTGGTTACTGCCCTCTCCGAATTACGTCGACAGAACAAAAAAGTGGCAGTCACTTCCATGTGTGTTGGAACTGTGAGTGATACCTGTCTCAGCAATGCTTGCTTAAGGCGCCCGAAGTTAGCTTTGTACTAATTATATCTCTTCCAGGGTATGGGTATGGCTGGCATTTTCGTCTCCGAGGCCTAAAGTTTGATAATAAATCTTAGACTGTGAAGACTGTACCGTCATGATATGTAAATATGTTATACCTAGACTATTCCGAGCATAATATGGAGTTCATGCTGTTATCTCGCGTTAAAGAATAGATACGTCCATCAATGTGTCTCGTTACTGGATCCGGTTTATGTTTCTGGGTATCTAGGACCAGCCCCTGAATCAGCGTATAGAAAGGCGGCTCTGTTCGTGGTGCTATACTAGGTACTAGCAGCAAGTTTAGCAGTGTAATATCCGACTAACCTGATATAGCCTTTTACCATAGACGAAATAATTTTATATTAGGGTTGCAAAGATTAGTGGAGATGTGACTGTCAGGATATTCTAGATCGACTTTCGTGTACGGTATTTGTAATGGTTAATTCAAATAAACCATAAGTATGAACATTGGAGCTCTACTTGGGCTGATGATACAGATGCAGTTAAGCGATGCCAAAGCGACATATATAAATAGACCCAAACTTGACAAGGAAAGCGGTAGTATCGAGCGGATGCTCCGAAACGCCGTACAAGATATAGCGAATGAAGTCGAGAGAATCATGAATCATGCGATTGGAAAAAAAAGGAGGAAACAACAGGGTACATGTTGAGGTTCGTAATTAAGCATACGGCATGCTCAACCTAGGTTGAGCGTATCGATCTCTAAGTGTAGGCTGTACATATTGCTGACTTCTCAGAAGGGACCCTTGAACTCAACGTTAACAGCCTTCAGGCAAGTGATACGCTCATCATCCTTAGTGAAGACATCGGCCTGAACATTGTATTTTCCCTATCCAACAAGCCATCTGTTAGCAATCTATCATGGACAGGGTTGAGTGGATCCCTGGCAAACCAGACCCTAACTAAGCATAGAGCGATAAGACTTACCGGAGGAATCTGTCTCGGCAAATCGACCTGCTTGGTCAAGGTCATGTCACCTGGCCCCAGAGGACATTTAAGGTCTACATTGACAAGCTGTTCGCAGAGATCGGCGGTCTGCCTGAGAAGAGTGATCAAGCCATATTTAACCTCCAAAAGCACATAAGCACCTTCCTCAATCTTTTCACGCAAGGTGCCCGAAGCCGTGATGACAAGTGTTTTGCCACTGTATTGAATTAGTCGTGATGTTCAATATTATACCAAAGGACGCCTGTGTATGCTTTTCGCTGACATACGGAAGAGGTGGATTAGGTGCCAAGTCCACCTGTTTAATATCTAGGACATCGCCCGACGGGTCGTTACAGTATTCCAGAGGGTTATTTCCTGCGACTGATTTGCCTTGTACTTGAATAGGAGATTGAGATGACTTGAGGAAGTCGAGGCTTCGAGCTGAGGTGGAAATGGGAGCGAGGCAGACGAGAAGCGCAGCGGCAGTTGATAAGAACTTCATGATGGCGAGGGTTTGTCAAACTGCTTGGGATCGAATCAGGAGGAGATGTAATATCGAATACAAATGATCTGAGTACTACTAAGACTTGTGATGACGATGGTGGAAGGTGCAAGTAGTAGTAAGTCGTACCGCTCGTAAGGTAGGTCTGTCGAGGTGGAAGGAGAAGCGGTGTCATGGGACCCCCATGACGAATGGCTGGGCCCACGTGATTGATACCAGCAGAGGCACAGCAGCCTGATTGGTGAAAATGCCATGCATGGCGTTTATTATTCAACGTTCAAAGCATTGTGCTAACCCTTCTAACCAGACATGGGTCTCTGAAGTGTGTCTTGTTACTCACTATGACAAACACTGAAACTTCATGGATCTGAAGCATGATATCCGTAACTAAGGTTATGGAGCCCAGACGCCTTATCGTGGAGATTGACCCACCTTCACAAGCTTCTGGAGATGTGGGATTGGATGAGAATCATGAGATGGTTATTCTGCCCATGATCTTAGAATTTCTCAATAACAGCGGAAGGCTGGCCCATGAGAGAGACCTGCTCGTATCATTTCGACAGCCTCATTTCGTCATCCTTAAGAAGAGGCTATCCCTCGCAGCCTCTTTTTTTTTTTTTTTTTTTTTCAAAACCAGCCTCCAGCATATGCGCTACAGTTACGTCGACCTTTAGAAGCACGAAATGGGCGCAATTCTGGTTGTGAAGCTTATCAAACGAAAGGTTTCCTTTGCGTGTAATTCCATACTTGGGCCACTCCAGATCCCTCTGTTTCTATGTAAGGCACGTGGCACATATCCATAGGCCATTGGCGCAAACTCATCAGAAGATTTTGAGTGGTCCAATGTACTGTCAATTGAGTACTAGTACTAGTAGTACCTACCACTTCATCTCCTCCGGATAGGTGTCAAAGTGAATAGTCTTGTGTTAAAAGCAAGACGCGGAGCGAGTATGGCGAAATGCCAACTACTGTCTCTACCAGCTCACTGTCTACCATGCACAAACAATCGCACACATTTTATTTACGAAATGTTAAACACGACTCCTTCTGCAGGATAGTCGCCCTGGCATAGATGTCGGATTGGCGCCATTCTCTGACTTATCAATGGTAGGCATATACGAGTCTATATGAACAACTCTCGAATAAACTGGGTATCATCCCTCTGCACACAACAGTTCCATTCCCACAGCCACATATGACACTTATAACATGACGAGGATAGATAAAGGTAGAACAGGGTACTCCCGAGATCTACTCTCCAAACAGACGTCGCACCCGCTTAAGCACGCTATCCTTCTCGGGGTCGTATGGGTGATCCTTGCTTGGGATTTCTAGGACGGCGGGAAATGGATCGGCGAAGGAATCGACACTGTGGCGGATGCGCTCTGCAACCTGTTCTCCCGTAAGCAAGACAACGAACTATGAAGAGCCTAACCTTTTTTATTAGGGCGGGGGAAGCAGTTAGCTTGAATGACATACGTGTTGATTGATAAGAACGATAGCAATATCTTTTCTTTCTTGAGTAAAGTTTTCGAACGCTTTCTCAATCGTAGAGGTTTCGGTCTTGGAGTCTACCACGAGGAAATTCCTTTGGGAGTCGGGGGGATCTGTGACATGCTTTGGAAAGCAGATTAGTTCACTATCGGGCATGTCGGCTGCTATAGCGTTCTTGAAATCACTTACACCAACACCTGCGAGAAGAAGTCCAGTCACCGAGCTGATATAGGGAATTAGCAAAGCTTTGGTTCGGGATAACCCCACAGGCTGTAGATTACTCTTCATCTCCGATGACAGCAAGGAACTGCCGGTCCTGTGTTGTGTCAGCCGTCGGGCTCGTGCGGATAAGAAGGGGGGTGGGAAGTGTACCTTGGCTTGGGCCGCCATTGTAATAGATACGAGCAGTCGGCGAAGGGAACAGCTCGAAAGCAAGTGGGATCTGGGACAAGGGTGACACTGTCCCCGTGGAGTCTCGACTTCCCGCAAGTTGATCGGACAGTCGTCATAAGTGGCCCCGATCCTGCTTACCTAAGCACTATTGTATGCGCTTTTTCTCTGTGTTGTTGTATGTTTACACAAGTGGGACGGAAAACTTGCTCTCAGCTTGTTATCTTTGTCTTGCCATAGGTAAGTCCAGTTGCTGATTTCTATCTACCCTTCGGAGCCACTTAAAATACTAATACTTGTTTTGATATACAGTTGCTCGCGCTATTATCGTAGCTTTTTCGGCGTCACAATGCCCCGGCTCATACGCCGCCAACCATTGGCAGAGCGTATCAAATCCTATCTAAACCCCTTGGACTTTCTTCTATGGCTGTCGGAAGAGATAGACGCAAATGATTGGGATCAGTTTGAGAAGGACTGGGCGCTGCCTTTGGGTGTGGCCTTGAACGTGGTCTTTCTAATCGCAAGAGCCAACACTCAACCCAGTGGCGGGAGAGCCATAGATGATGTTTTCGGCGAAGATGGAGGCACTCCCTGGCTCAGCTGGTTTGTAAGTTGTTTGTCTGTCGCCATCAATTGTCTCCGTCTATATCTTTGAAGTCCAGGCTCGTTGTGTGACGTGGAATGCTTTAACGCTAATGAACAACATCATCACAGGCTTCGTTCGTCGTTCATCTCCTCGTTTGTTTTACCGGGCTCAATAGCTTCTATACATTTTACCGCAAACGACACTATCGCATGTTTGAAGCATCAATTGACCGCGCACCTGCGACACCATCAGCCCACCGTGTACGTGTTGACTCAACTCCGGCCTCACCGCTGCGATACTTTGCCAATGTGATTTCCGGGTCGGCACGATCAAGAGCGCACCCTGATGCGCAGCGTGACGTGTGGGAGCTTGCAGTCTGGGACCCTCTACCGATTTGCCTGCGGTTGTTCTGCCTGTTTAGTCCTGGACATGTCTTAGTCTACTGGCTTTTCCTGCCTACACAACTTTCAGATCCGCGACCAAGCGTTACAATTGTGACGACAATCTTTTTGACCACACTGCTGTCAGTACAGATGACATTCCTATCAACTTCCTTCAAGCAGCAGGCAAAGGATTCTACCCTGGTACATAAGGAAGTGTTGAAAGAGTATGACACAAAATATGTGCATCCTCGAACTCAGCCTTTAATGAGAGATGTCGGCACTCAGTTTTCCGACGCAGATGTCACCCTATCCGGCTCTAAATCCAAATCTAATAAAGTGGACACTTACACTCCTACCTTTATTGTCCAGCGCGGCTTCAAGACCAGCCCGAACCCCAACTACCTTAAACATGTTGACCCCGATGGTATTTCATCTGGACGTCAATCACTAGTTGGAACACCTTCTGGCCCGTCTCAATACCAAGGCCCGCTCCAAACACCAAGTCATTTGCGGGACACTTCTCCCATTGTTCGAGGTCCTATCTCGTCAATTCGGCAGCCCCAGTTCCGTCAAACCCCTACCGCCACGGGAGATGGTGGCAGTCTGGGTATTTACTCGCATGCTAATTCCCCTTTGAGGAAATCAAGTTCCACGAACTTTGACCGCCGTCTCCAGAGTACTGGAGATTTCTTCTATAGAGAGCGAGGTGCAAGTCCGATGAAGAAGCCGTCTAGTCCGCTGAAGAAGAGCAATGTTCCTGGTGACGCGAGCCCCATTGCATCAGGCTCAAGACGAACTCATCTCACTTACGTCGCCAAACAGGAAGATTCTAGACAATTCAATCTTATGAGTTGTTTCTCGTGGAAAAGAGGACAACTTCATGGTAGGCTGGTTCATCACGCATTCCTCGGAATTCTTATACCGTTCACCCACATATAGTCTTGTGGACAACATTTAACTAAGCATCTGGAAGGGGAGTTTGGGGGTCCTTAATCTTTTCGTTCGCTCAAAATGACATTCCTATTACATTCAAGGGGCACAGTATCGACCTATTTCAACTCGGGAATGTAGGCTGATAACAGACACGGCCAGCCACTGTATTATATGTTCCATGTCGCATTGTTGCGAGATTCGGAAATTAAACTTGAGCCAAACCGCAAATGAGGAAGCCAAATCATCATCCAGTCTTTTCGTTATTTCCTAAAATTCCTTCTCGGTTACTTAGGATTCCGCCTGGGGCATGCCAGATGGGCAGGGCGTCGCTGCTTCCCCAAACGTGACCCAAATAGAAAGGAACCGACCAAGCGCATGTGAAATTGCCATACCAAACATCGTCAGAGCGGGGGCACACATTCCATGTTGAGCGACTTGTTTGCATTCCTTGAAGTGGTGAGCTGGGTTTCTTAGCATTCCAATCGTATCATTACGCACGTCATCCCTTTACAACTCGGAATCAGCCTGCAGAGCAAATGTTCTCTCGAACTCTCGTTGCAAATGCTCTGTCGTGTTTCAATGAGCCATCAGCTTCATTCTCGCACGGCAAACGCCTCAGGAGGCGTAGTAATCACACCACGCCCTCCCGTACACAGGAAAAATCCCGATCGTCTAGGAAGGAATGGGTAAGTCGAAGAGCTGAACCTGACCTAAGAGTCGAAGTTGCTAGTCTACCTCATCGATCCAAAATGGAAGGACATATTCCTTTACCGAAAGGACATTTACTCAACCTCCAGCCTCGAGCTCGAAACGGCAGACGTGCCAAATTCAGTGACCAAGGAGCGGGAAACGAGCAAAATGGAGCGCACCCGACGGGGGCTGACCAAAAATCGACCGGGTCGAAAATTGGATCCCCCGAAATACCCCAGAGTCTTTTACCGAGGGGCATGGCCACCAAGCTGCCCAAGCCTAGAGCGTTTGCAGATAAGGATAAGGAGCGAAAGAGGGAAGCATCCGTCACACCTCAGAAAAAGGAACAGAAGATCAATATGCACGGTCAGATGAAACGGTCCCCTGGCGCGTCAGATCGCGAATTATCAAACTCGACAGACAAAGATCGCGAGCAATATTGGCGGAAGGTCCGAGGCAAGTTCGACCGGGAGTCGCCTACAGCATCACGGAGCAAAGACAAACAGAAGGATTATTACCAGGAGGCCTATAGAAAGATTATCTCATTGGCTAGCTCACCCAAACATGAAATCGCCAAACACAAGCAGAAAAATGCAACTTCAACTACTCGTGGTCAAAGAGGCTCTGAGCAAGGGGCTAAGCCCACAACCAAAATAGCGGGTCCTACCATCGGCAGTCAAGGTAGACTTGTGTCCCACTCTAAGGGGTATTCCGTGAATCAGGATAGATCTCAGTCGAGTAAGGACAAACTGACAGACAACAAGACCCACGACACGACGCTTCAAAGGTCCCCTGAGAAGACAGATAACACTACCAACTCGTCCATTCATTCACACCCTTCCATATCACCAGTGTCAGGCCCTAGTAGCTCAATGACCGAGTGGGAAGATAGATTTGTTGTCAATATGCCCTCAGCCAAAGACCCAAATCCGCCAACAATGAGTGTGGAGCAGATTGTGGAGTTTCAGAAGAGCATTGAAAATGTGCACAAAGAGGGAGAGACGATGCTTGATCCCGATACTCTACCAAGTCCGCGCACCATGACACCTGAGGACAAACCGAACCTGCCAGATGGTGAACGAAAGCAGCTTGGTACCCTCGATGGCCAGGACTCACGCTCAAGTCGTCCGGTAGATGCAGGTGAGCAACCGGCAACGTATCCGCTTGGTCATAATCGATATTACTCTCCTGATGAGATTGGGAAACAGCGCTGCAGCACTATCTGGGAAGAGGCACCATCGAGGCTAAAGCAGAAGGTGTCCGATGCTAATCCGGACGGCTCTTTTTTAGGGTGCAGAGAAATCAAGGGCCCATACGACAAGAACCCCGACGAGATTCTCTTTTTCTCGTCAACCAACGAGCGCCCCCGAGTGGTGGATGTGTCGACACCAATAGCCAAACCAAGAGATTGGAAGAAAATAATGACGTCAACCCACTCAATGACTGCAATATCGGAGGAAAAGACTGTTGCTCAAGAAGAACGGAAGCCAACTTTTCAGAGTTCGAAGCATGCCCAATGCTCCAAGCAGTCACCGAAGACGATGTGTCACGAGACTACATGTCAACGGCAAGACAAGGCAAAGATGCCTGCGCATGTCTCGGGGAAAGAGAACGAAAACCATGCTGCCCATGCGGCAAGTACTCAGGACCAGACAAAGAACCATGGGGACGATGTGTTCATTATCACACCCACTATCACACGCACTATGGTGACCACGGAGGAAAAGAGAGGCGCTACGCCGAAACGAGTAGGCGTACCGCCTCGAATAGCAGGCGAAACCGTCAAGGATGTAAGGGCGAAGCCTCAGATGCACTCTTCACCATCGGGATTACGACGAGCGACCCAAAATTCGTGGGAGAGATCCAACGCAACTTGGCCAGCACCTTCAACCTCGAGAGATACTCACGTAAAGAAAGTTCCAGTGGTACAGCAGGCTCGAGCAGAATTGGGGTATATGAGCGCGGAAAGGCGCCGGGCCATACGTGGGTACATCCGTATGCCCGTCATGGTAAAGTCACGGACAGAAAGTCTCGGCCAACGCATACATAATACCGCCCCACCAAAAGCACCTGCTGCTCCCCCGAACAACGATAATCAACCCCCTGCAAGGAGTATATCGGACTCATCTCAGTCCATACCCTCCTCGGGCCATGATATCTCTCCCGCCAGCTCGCTCACGAGGGATCAGCGATACCCAAAAGCGCCAACGCAGACCGCTAGAATTGTTGAGGTAGCCGAATTGGATGGCCTACAAGTCGACGATCCTAAGGACGATCGTAAGACAGATCACAAGGAAAACGACAAATCGGGTGGCAAGTTCACACACGAAGAACATATTCGCTCTAGGGTCGCTGATTTGCGTGCCGGTCTACAGACAAGTGCGGTAAATGCAGACTACCGGGGCTTGTTGAATTCAATCACTATGAGTCTGATCATGGACATCTTCGTCCTGTCGGCTGCGCAGGCACAAGGCCTCTTTACGCAGATAATAGACAATCGGCATTCAAGGACTGTCTTGTCCAAAATTGCTTTGAATTGTATTCTGAACATGGTTGAGCATTGCCTTCATGTTTTCAGAAACCTGCTGCATGCTTGCTCCATTTATACCACAACAGGGGCTTGGCCTCGACCAAGTGAGAAAGATCTTGCTCGTTTTCTGGCTGATCTTTGTCAAATGGTGATTTATATTGGCGTTCTTGGTTCTATCATGATGTTTCTAGGGCGAGCGGTTGAGTATGTGATTCTTATCGGAAGCTGGATCGTATGGTTCATAAGGCCTCTTGGGTGGTTTTTGGGTGCGCTAGGAAGAGTTCTCCAGGGTATGACAACCTGACACTTTTGGTACTTTGCATTGTTCTTGTATTTTTGTATACTTTAGTGGCGGGTCCTCATTTCATGTATTATTCTTATGCTTGAACGTCTTTTCCAGCGACGTCAGTTATCGTTATGAACGGCTGTGCAATACAGGGTATCCTTTTCGGGTATAAACGCGCACTATATAAAAAGACCGGCCCGCATATCATCTAAAGATATCAACAGTGTAAAGGCCTGAAGGCAAGTAACTATCATTATCACATTGATTTTGTTTGGGATTTTTAAGTCTATGTGTCTATTCAAGACTTGAGTAAATAAATTCCGTGAAATATATCAAAGACTTCATGAAGAAACTCCGTATCCCGTGTTGAAAAGGATCACTTTTTCGTTTCTCGTGAACCCAACTCCGTTGTCATCCATAGTGTTGAATTATCGTAAGGTATCGCATCACCCTGTTTTATGTAGCCCTGCTCTGTTTAAAATAAAGGAAGAAAGAAAAGAAAAAGAAAGAAAAGAAAAGCGAGATAGAAGGTTGTGATAAGAATGTATAGACAAAAGCGAAAGAGGAGGTGGGGTCATGGTTGACGACCCCTGAGCTTCGGGCTCTAAGGGAGACTTGATTATGATGTTGAATTTTGAGATTCTTCTCGCGCGCGATGAGAAATGAAAATAATCGGGTGGGGTATAAGGTTGAATGTTAAAAGTCATGTTGAAATTAAATAACGCTCAAAGAAGAAATCGTTGAGAGGTCTTCAATTCGTGTCGCCATAAGCCATTTCGCGCCTCGGGGTGGATCGACCCCAGGCAGGTATCGTTGAGATATAGATGTTGAATTAAGAAGTCTTAGTAAATCGTTGAAGAGATGCTAGAGAAGTTGTAGAGCAGGTATAGCCTGCTGGGGTTGTTCGTGATATAGGTAAATTAGTTTGCGGTGGCCTCGGCCGCCTGGGACTTCGAGCCGGCGTTGTCTGCGGTGACTTCGACATCGAAATCTTTTACGTTCAAGTCCTTGAACAGTTCAAAGAGATCGTATGTGTTGTGGAAGTCGTTGTTGACTGGATAAAGGATCAGCAAGTGAAATGAAGATGGAATAGCTTTAGGCTTAACTCACCGATGTTAACAAGGTACCAGTTGTCCACCAGGCCTTGAATGAATTTCCTGCTGGGGCTCGTAGCAGCATGGCACTTAGCCCAGTCTTCACCTAGACGGTATGCCTCGTCCTTCCAGGCCAGGAAACTGATGGTTTCAACAATGGTAGGTTGGACAACCTCTCTACCGGCGAAGATACCCCAAGTCAAGGCATTAGGGCTATCTTGGGTGTTGGTCCGCAATTCGCCATTCTTTGAAACTGCGTGGTAGGTAAGATCTTCGTTACTTTCGATGCGGGCAATCAGTTCGTCAAGCAAGTATGGGGGGATCAAGAGTTCGAGGTATGCCTTCTGGTAGACGAAGCCATTCTTCGGACCCCATCCATACACAGGGTGAGACGACTTAGCTCCATTGACAGCGGGCTGAGAGTTGATAGTGAGGATACCCCGGTTATTGAGTTCGATTAGGTTGGGTTTGATAGTTTTCGCTTCGGAGCTGATAGGTGTGTCACTCCAGGGCAACCGACTCAGTTTACCCTCCAGATAACTAACGAAGAGGTGCGAAAGGTCCCGAATGGACTTCGGTTCACCCCACAGTTGAATGTTTTGTTCGTTTGTGCCCTTGAGACCTATACCGTAAGAATCAAGCTCACCAAAGGCTGGAGATCGGGAGTCGGTCCAGCGGCCGTTCGGGAACTCATCCCATGTCTGCGTGCGAGCGATGTAAGAAGAGTTCCGGTTCCGCCAGAAGATCGGGCGAACATCCTCTGCCCTACGGTTAAGACCAAGCGACGGCCGCCAGGGCAAGGGTCGCTGGATTGGGGTCTCTTCGGAGGGCATCAGTTTCAGCTCATCGAGGACCAGCTGCGTGGCCTGGGCAAGGTTCATCGTATAACTAATAACATTCATGAGCTTTCGAGTTTGGTAGGATAGAGAAGCCCAACTTACAAGTGCAAATGGTTAATGCCAGCTGCCAGGAGCCTCCTACACATGTCTGCGATCAGGACCTTTCCAATCTCCTTGACAACCGCATCATCATTCTTCACTGGCTCCAGAGTCTCGAGCCAATCTTCGGGAATATGAATCTTTGTCCAGTTTGCTCGTCTAATAAACGCGGAATAAGTTTGAATCGGCATGATACCAGGGATAATAGGCACGTTGATTCCCTTGGCGCGGCACTTCTTTACCCAGCTGATGAAAATGTCCGTATCGTAGAACATTTGTGTGATAACGAATGAGGCTCCTGCATCGACCTTCTCCTTCAGGTGATCTATCAAGAGGTCCACATCTGGGTTATCGTCCGCGCCCTCCGGGTAACCTCCCACTCCAATGTCAAAATGGTTTCCGTATTTGTCCCGAATGTACTTGACCAGGTCCTTCGCATAACGAAGTCCGCCCTCTGCAGCTTCCCACTTCTCTTGCTCACGAGGCGGGTCACCACGAAGGGCCAAGATATTAGTACAGCCAGACTTGTAGGCGGCCTGTAGGGCGGCATCTACCTTCTCCGTCGGCATGTCTGTACATGTCAAATGCATGCAAGTCTCCAGTCCGTACACCGATTGGGCCACATTAACCATCTCACAAGTCAAGTCTGACAACCGTCCTCCGGCACCCCATGTGATATCAATGAAGGACGGGCCTAATGCGTGCATTCGGTCCATTCGGTCGTAAAGGTTCTGCACACCTTGCGCTGTTTTGGGAGGGAAGAACTCAAATGAGATACCGACCCTTTCAGCGGTCTCATTTTGGGCAAGCTTTTCCTTAATATGCATATTGTGTAGTTAGACTAGATAGCAGTACTAGAATTAGCGGATCTCTTCGGAATGATAATTGCAGTGCAATGTCAGCTTGGCTGGAAAGTCCAAAAGATTGAACTTACAGGAACAAAATTGCTGTTTTACAAGAACTGGGGAAAATTGCCCTAGTTAAAACAGCTCTCTTAATCACTGTTCTAACCGTTCCTGGTCTTGTCGGTCACCGGGCCTGCCAGCGAACACAGTGTTAATATACCGAATGAGAATCTTCCAACAAACAATCAAGAAGAATTGAAAGAATGAGAAACTGCTGCAAAGCCAGGTCTCAGAAGGAAGAAAGGCCCAGGGGAGAGGGAAAAAAAACGGCCTTACGTTAAAGCAAGGGGAAGATGAGATAACCTATCATAAAGAAGGCCGGACTTCGGAGGTTGTCCTGTGGCACGTGTCCCACTCCCAATCGGTCAGTCACAGACCCTCAACAGAGCCGGAGGGTTACTTAGTGCCTAGAATATGAGATGCAGGACTATATAGAGACACCAGTTCAACCCAAGATATTTGAATCAGGCAGATTGGGCGGTAAGCAGAGGAGGAGGAAATGGGGGGAAGAAGGAGAGAGGGAGAGCTAAGACGATACGTCGGTCCGATCCACGGGCCTCCTTCCAGACCCCTCATTCCGGTCATTGGCCTAAGGCCTCCGCCTTGCCCCTCTTTGAGAAATTGGCTAAAAGAAAATCATAAAAAAAAAAAGACCCATCGATCGCTGATAACCGTCTTCTTCCCCAGAACAAGCCTCACCACCGAATCTCACTACTCTGGACTATTTTTTTATTTATTTATTTTTTTCGTTGAACCAATTGAGGCTTCCAAATTGACAGCCTTGTTCCACTCAACCCTGGAATCTTCTATCAACACAAAAGTCGTCGCAAGGAAGAAATACAACAATGTCCGCAGCTACCATCCCTGCTCCTGCCGCTGAGCAGGACTACAAGGAGACTTTGCTTCCCTTGTTGATGAAGAATAACGTTCTATCCTTTGGCTCCTTTATCCTTAAGTCTGGCCGTGAATCTCCTTACTTCTTCACCTCGTCTCTCCTTCACACTGCGCCTTTGCTCCGTGCCACCTCGGCGGCCTATGCCAGTGTCTTGTCTGCCCCGCCATTTGTAACTGTTGCGGCCGACGGTACTACCAAGCCCAACTTTGATATTATCTTTGGCCCGGCCTATAAGGGTATTCCGGTGTGCGCCTCCGTTCTGAATGAATTAGCGGTGCGGGACTCTCTCTCCGCGTCCGCTAAGGGAACCTGGGACAATGTCAGCTACTCCTTCAACCGTAAGGAGGCCAAGGACCACGGCGAAGGAGGAAACATTGTCGGTGCTCCTCTGAAGGGAAAGCGTGTCGTCATTGTCGACGACGTTATCACAGCCGGAACCGCCATCCGTGAGGCCGTGAGCATCATTCAGAAGGAAGGCGGTATTGTTACCGGTATCGTTGTCCTCCTCGATCGTGAGGAGAGAGTCAGCGACGCTGAGCCTAAGAGTGCTATCGGTGTTGCACAGAGGGACCTTGGTGGAAACATCCCCATTCGCGCGGTGATTGGTCTTCATGACTTGATCGAAAAGTTGGGCGATAGGATCGGGGAGTCCGAGATCCAGCGGTTGAAGGACTACAGGGCTCGCTATGGAGCCGAATAGATCCGGTGCTTTAGCATTATAGGCAAAAAATAGACGACGAAATGATCACATTGTTCTTGTAAATACGCTTCTTTGGCGCTTATTCCCCGTTGTCGGATATATCAAAACTTGCGTGGAGAGGCATTTATTGCGTTCTTTTTTAGACTTGTTTTTTAAATAGATTCAATAGTGTCAGTTCTAAATTGACATGACTTATGTGTCCTGTCCATGTATGTATGACAGGTTTTACGATAGATGGGTCAACATGGAACCTGTTACGTGCGTCATTGTTGTTATTATATATATCTTGGCGAGCGTTTTGCCATTCCGAGCAACAATCTAGCTATATGGGGTAGCTATAAATCTATAATCGAGGATGATATTTGTAGATATATGCAAGACTAGATCTATTGCTACAGGAAAACGAAAAGAAACATAATGACTTTACTGAGAACGCACTTGAATAGCACATGTTCAGGTTTCAGTTCGATGTCTGAATAAGCAGTACTATTGCTCTACAACAGCTGCTCTATATCAGAGTAGATAAGACATATAGGGATATTTACATTCAAGAACCTTTCATATGAGATTTAGGCGAAATACACTATAAGAAATTGATTGGAGTGAATATGTTAAGAGACCCAATCACCTGTTATTGCCTTTACTTACCCGTTATCGTTGCTACTCAATCCATCCCAGCAGGATACAATTGGGTTAATGATACATCAAGAAGCATATGATCTTCAGTTAATTAGACACTCTACCCCTCAGGATCTCCTTTGGCGAGTCTAATATCAACAAGTACGGCCATGGTTATCCGAACGATATCGAACAGCTACCTCGGTAGTCGTCTTTATCCTGAGCTGACACTCTTCTATAGGCTATTATAGCGTTCACCACTTCCAAGGTGCCATGGCCACTCGGACGCCGAAGAAGCCCGAATATCTTCGTATAAGTAGTTATCTAAAGGGAAGTCTCCGTGTAAACCATGCAGAAGGTAAAAATAGGCAACAAAGGCTTCACCGAGACTTTCTGTCCAGCCTGCGTGCGGAACCTCGACTCGACAACAAGCCCTAGATAAGGAGAAGATAAGGAGAAGGTAAGGCGCGCTTGTTAAGTTAACTTGCATCTTCTATACCGAGTCTATGGCCCAACACTACAAGGTCTGGACCTGAACTTCCAAGGAACTCGCCTCGCAGAAACAATTTCTGACATAAGCTTTGGTGTGAGTTGCCGGGCCTTTGTTTTGACAATGCTGCGTGTAAGTCGACTACATGCAGACACGGATGGACTTCTGTGTAGCGGACAGTTGTAGCATATAAACAGCTCAACCATCCCTGATCCATACAAGCAAGGAAGTATAGCGACAATGGGTGTCACGACAGTCACAGTATGTGTGGTGCCATCGTGGATGTCTGCTCAGAAAGGCATGTCTGTGGCGAGCTGAAGGTCAACGAGGGATTGCATTTCATGTCCTGCATGGAAATTTTGAGAAAGGTAGCCTAGCAAGGCAGGTGGTAGAGAGTCGGTGAACGATAAGAGAGAGAAGCTGTCACTAGTTTCTGGGTTCATGGATGCAGGAAGTGGATCCGATGGCGAACGTTCGGGCTCGGCCAGCGCGCTAATATCTGCTATCACAAAGTTTCACGGGTAAGCTGCAGCGACAGGGAGCTAAGTGCCTCTCATAAGGGGTTGCAAGAATTGACATGTATTGCTCACGGCCACGCTGGGTAGAACGAGTCAATTTCGCCAAGGCCTGCAATATCGATGTATATGATATGTAGTCTGACTCCACCGTTGCTGACCATGTGCCTATAGGACTTATTGGCACCTGCACGGTGGATAAGCTAGTCATTTTTGGAAGATTAAAAAGTGGGACTGGGGGCAACAAGGCATGCAGTTCAAACGCAATATTAGCAATGGTTTGGATAAAGGTTCGGTTTACGACGCACCGGTAACGCACAGGAGGCTCGGTGAATCTTGCCTCTCCGTTTTAGTTACATGCGTATATACTATCAGCTCAAGGAAGAAGTTTTGCCTTTCGAGGCCAGAAGTCAACTGAGGTGGTCGCACCGCATTGGTCAGAATCGTTCCTTGTTTATCATACTTCTGATATCATACTGAAACTCGCTTGCGACAACAACAGAGTGTTGCAAGAACAGGGAGTGGCTCAATGTTGGGTGTTACCGCTTCTTCGTCGCCATCGGTTTTACCTCACCATTTGTGTTATGTGTTGATTACTACGTGCCTAAATACGAGGCGAAGTGAGCCCCAGAATTGAAGTGCGCCATGTAGGCAGGTTTAGATACGAGTAGACCTATTCAACTTTGTCATTGATAGGCAATGCATGGACGACCGGCATCTGCTAGAAAGCTCCGGGGCGAGAGGACTAGGTTTGAGCTACTTCAAAACAATTCTAATACATCAAAACCACGAAGGTCGGTTCGCCTATCTAGGCAGTATCTGGCTGATAAGCCGTAGAATGTCATCGGTATCTCCGTAGAAGTTCATGTCTGATAATCGGCCGTTATCATTTGCTATTCATAATCAGCAAGATTGGATCGGTGTCCCGATTGGGACCATGGTAAGGACATTTTCCGAATGATTCTCATTATGCGTCTATATGCATAGCTATACGCACAGCTATACAGGTTGGAAGGCCGAGCACGGACTATATAGGGTGGACCAAGCTGATGTGTTGTTAATCATGTTCATGCTGGAGCTCTTTGGGGACAGGCTACCTAGCAGCGATCATCCGAGGAAGACTAGGTAGGTATTCTCCAGGATTACCCTGCTAGTAGTTTTTAGTAACGATCCAGGGACCAACAGGCGGTCTGTGATTGACCCACAACTCTCAACTGTGTGAGATCCGATGCGATGGTGAGTGGCCCATCTCTCCACACCCCACTACTGTGTACTTATTACTAGTACACGGGAGGCCACCCCACACAAACCCTACGGAGTACGTAGCGTAGTAGGCAAAGATCTCGTAAGATGTATATTAGTATGTGTAGCTACTAATCAAGGATAAAGAGTTGCTTGAGATAGTATGACGAGCCGGACTCCGGTATAGAATGACCACAACCGGGTTCTGTTCTGCAAGCTTATCTGGAGGGTACAGCTAGTTTATGCATCTTATATGTCATCCTATGTTGACAGTTGTCCCAACACTGAAGTATTTTATGTCTGTTAGTACAATACACGCGGACAGACTAACCGGGATAGTCCTTCGTCCGCCTCAACTCCTTCAGTAAGGGATCAATCCACACCCAACAGACTGGGTAATAGTTTCAAATCGCACTGTCCTTTTTATTCGGAAATATTGTCAGATTTTGGTGCTCATCGTGATCGGAGGTTTGTTAGGATAACTGACGTATTGGAATTCAGTAGTTGAGTATATTATGACCATCAGATGCTCTTAAAATACTACCATGGTCGACAGCATTCTGCGACTTACCAGGTAATTTTCATCCAAAGAAATTTGAATGGTAGATCCAGGTCGAAAGTAAATTCTAATGAAGCATGGAACAAATGTCGACTACTAGCACTTGAGTTGGAATACTACGACGAGATACTTCTTCTGATTCATGAGCCTTTTGTGTCAAAACGACTTATCAACCAATCCGTAGAATGTTCCTGGGATGTAAACCTAGTTCGTTGCCCGGTAGGTTAGGTGGCTTCGTCTCCTTGCATCCGATCGAGCTCTGTAAAGTGAACCAAGATGTTCCGCTTCAGCATCTTGTTGAGCAGCGATCGATTGCACCATATTACATCATACTAATCCCGGATATAAAGTTGTGCTATCCTGAAGCTATCAAAGTAAGGGGGCGTACAGAGAAAGGCTAATTGAGTTTTGTTCTTTTTAACACTCAACAGCCCTTGTATGAGTGCGTATGCATGCACGTAATCCAGCATTGCTACGGCCTGTATGTTGGGGTTCTTACAATACCGTCATTTGGTGTTCGGTAGCCGGCGGCGGACAAAAAGGGTCTATTCGCCTCAACAACAACAACCTAAGTATATCAGTACTCAAACCAATAATCCGGAAGTAACTCCGCTACAATTTATGGAATAATAAGCCTAATGTGATTTCATCATTCAGCCTCGCACTCAAATCATATTAGGAATGGCAGGATAGCTAAATAATTTACAAGCGAGCTGCACGATAGTTGAGCCGAAGAGCACACGATATGAGGGATCACAATGCAATTGCCATAATAAGATGTCAAAGATAAGTACGCCCCCATAATCCCGAATATTCCGAAGGAAAAAAAAATTGCGACATCGTGTCGCGTTCTTGGTTCTACATGGCTTTATCAATGTTAATAATATGAATTTGGATCTCGCTTTGATTTTCATTGTTATCAGGCCTGGTTGTTGCTGAAAATAAAAGATCCAGTAGCAATTGTTGGCACCAGAATCATCAATCTGTTAGCAATGCTCAAAGCAGGTTAAGTGTGCTGCAGAATTATCTTCAACTTACTCCGTAGTGTAGTTGCCGTTATGAATCTAAGTAATGTCCATTATAATCAAGAAAACAAGGGTGTCCTTACCAGTAAGCCGTTGCGCTAACAAGTTTCGAATACTGAAGATACCAAAGTTGAACGCGATAAGGGTGTTGTTTTTTGTTTTTTTTTTTGCTTTTATCCGTTAATCTCTCTGTGTTGTCTTTAGGTCTTGTCTTTTAGTTTCTTTTTTCGCTTTCGGCGAGTACCTCGTGGAGTATCTTTGTTATATCGCCGCGTAGAACTTGGACCTCAATTCAACGTTCACAAATACAGCCACCACCTTGCCGCAGGCTTCACGCAAAAGTAACACCGCCAACCAAGATAAGGATCCATTAGAAGTCAGATTAATTGCTATTCCTGGCTTTACACCTTGTATTCTGATCATGGTAGTCAGCTAAGAAGTGGGTTGTGCATACAACCTCACGTCCGAATCTATGTATTCCCAAGAGCTAGACGGGCCATTGAGCGGCAGATGCTATCAATCGCACTATTTGAATCCTGCATAGAATCTTG